TATATATAACAAACAATGGTTACAATCGAATAAATATATGGGTTTCTTAAAGTTTGAGGAATCATCAACTAATGAATCTTCGAAAAGCGAACGAGAACAACACTTTTCTTGTAAAGATGGTGATGGGTGGGGAGTGTGTAATCTACAATAATAAATGGCCCACAGGGTAGACCGTATTTAAAGCGTGGTAGTGCCTTTCATACGAGAAATAAAACTGGACCCCATCTATAACATCCCATTTGGTGAGATTGTCCTTCGATGAGTTTCTTTGAAATAGCTAAACCGTTATCTCAGTTAAGAACTATAAATAGATCCAAGAATGCGTCCAAGAAAGGCGCCCTGCTATAGCCAGTAATAGAGGAAGAAGCCATCCATGCTTCACCATGACAAGCTCACCGCCCCATACGCCTCTAGCAACCCACCAAAAACTGTGGGACTTTGGTTGGAGTGAAATTGGGCCTTATCCAGCTTACAGTCCCGACCTTGTTCCTTCTGACTACCGCCTTTTTTGATACTTACAAAGCTTCATGGAAAGAATTCTAAGTTTTTTCAAAACGAAAAAAACATCGACCAGTCAATCGCAAATACTTCTAGAAAATTGAACCGAAAAGCTGCCACAGAAGTGGGCACGAACCATCGCTAATAACGGGCATTATATCAGTGATCAATGTTGTCTAATCAAAACATTGTTTCCTTTTAGAGTTAGGTTCCGTTGAGCATTTACGGGATGGTCCAACACGATGTGCCAAAGACAAGCTAATAATGAATTAATGACAAAAAAGCATCAAACGCACTTGTAACGAACTTACAAGCTAAGGCTCACATTTATAGTACAAGAAAAAGAAACTGTTTGTATTATATTTTTTTTTAGCAATATTGTGATTTGGACCGACATGGCAGGATGCTCTTTCGTTATCGTTACCATGGGAACGCGCTCAAAGAGATGCGCATTAGCTACTTGGGCTACGCCATTTCCTCTCTGTTGGTAGTAGCTGGAGTGGATGGTAACAGATTATGGCCTATTTTGGCTACTATTTGGTTTTGACGATAAACGGGCATTGCTGCAATAGGATAGCGGACACAGACAATTTTACAGGCAGATAGGACAGTTACAGCTCAGTTAGCAGCACAGACGGCTATTGGCCAGTACTAAACACCACTTCGACGAGGAACCACTCATAGACGTTCACAAATGCGTATCACTGCGGAAGAGAAAAGCCTATCGCCCCGAATCGATTGCCGTCTGTCACGACCGCAACACCAGTGGCCGCTACAACGAAGACGACGAGTACAGTCAACGTTCGGGAAAGCGTCACCACGAACGCGAGGTATTGCACGAACGCTGTTGCCGCCGTTGATATCGCGCTCGTGGCTATTGGTACTGTTATTGCAGTTTTTATAGACGTACACATATACATAATCACCCACTCATTCACCAATTCTGCTAGCGATACAATCAGTGATGTTGCCTCTCGGCCAGCAAAGTCATTATTTAGTACAGCAGATGCGTTGTTATTAACGATAGGGTAATTCAACAGCTGCTAAGGCTCTCAGAGGCGGCAATTGACCAATACGGACTGGCAGGAGCCATCGCAGTGATATGAGATGGTACAAAAACGCTGCGATCGTACTTCTTTTCCTGATACCGATGCCATCTAGACAGCGACGATATGTTTGTCACCCAATGACGATAACACCATACCCGCCACTGTCAAAACTATATGACCGCCGCTTTGAAAAAGCGTATGCACTACAATAGCCGAGAACATCCTATTTTTTTTCCTGTTTAGTAATATAGCGCCTGATTTTTAGAGTAATCGTATGAGAAAATGAAAACAAGCGACAAAACAGTTTATTAATAAAACAATGAAGAGGCGTTGTTAAGTTAGGTTGTCAAAAAAATAACGACAAACAGGGAGCTCGCTTGCCCAGCCCTCAGATTTTGCGTGAGTTATTTGCCTTAAAAAAGGAAAAAAAACACGTCTATTTGTTTAATATTATCGTAGCGGCGATTCGTAATACACCTCTGAGAAAAATGTTTACTATTGTCGCTGTTTCTAAATTTAGAATGGCTGCTCATTGGCAACCCTTAGCCATGTTATTATCCTGTCGAAGCTCGCTGTAATTGGCCTTAACAGGGGAGGTAGATATACCTTTATATTACTCAATAGAACTCGTCATATAATATCATTCGCTCAGACAAAGTTAATCACCATAAACAGCTGCGATTTTATCTATCCGTACGTTCGATTGTAAGAGCGTCTGACTATCAAAGCGCCAATGATATACTTGGAAAATCATACTGAGTACAACACGAGATAGATCCTATCAGCAACGTCGATCGTATGTGGGATGGTTAGGGCCATGGGGCATAGTTGAAGATCGTGGATTTACAGGTATGATCTTAGCTTGATTGAATTTATGTAACGAATTGCTCATAGATCGTATATTGTAATTACAGGAAATGGACTTAACGAAAATAGAGCCCAGCATGTGCCGAGTGGATTTGATAGTGTTACGATGATTCTGAATAATATTAACCTTCACAAACCAAAAATGGCCAGAAAGAAGAATAAATCGAAAACGTTGTGCTTATTGCTGGCAGTAGTAAATAGCAGTCGGCAGACAACACGAATGACTGAATAAACACGAACGCTATTGGCTCGTTTTTATTTCATTATATAAAGATAGAATAAAAGGTAGAATACTTTTTCACCCGACGATTCGAAATTTATTATGGCAAGTTGGTAGGCACTGTCGTCAGATTGAGATTAAATTTTCGACGGCCCTAAAATGTGTTCTAGTTGACATTCGCTGAACTAGCCTAATCAGGGATCGAAATGCACCAGCTTTTTCCCGCAAATTTTGGATACTTCCTTCGCTAGGGTCAATAGCTCTAATTTCTCGGGAGCAAATTTGTTTGACTCGGCGTTATTTTAGGCCTAGCCTAATATCGAGGTTAGTGTCTCTGTCTAAGTTCAGGTCAGTTCCAGGCTGACGTGTCAGCTAGCAGAGGTTGAGTTGGTCGGGCTTACATAAATCGCTCCATTGTTGACTTATCTCAAATTGCGTTATAGACAACTTTTTAATCTTTGGGCAAAAGTTCTCCAATCTACTTCGGAAATGTAGATATGCTCGCGAAACTGTGTTCAGACCCTAAATTCGACTATGAGAATATCCGCATATTTTGCACCATTGTAACAACGACTGCAAATTCAATCCATATATATATGTATATATATGTGTGTGTGTGTGTGTGTGTCGAGGTCATCAACGAAGCTAATTGTTTGATGGCAAAACAGGAAGCAGCAGATAGGGTTGCTGTCCGTTCGTAAAGATATCCAGTTAATATATACCTATTTAATCATAGTTTCTTGTAAAAAAAAGTATAGTCTTGTCAAACATTAAATAATATAATAAGGTAATGATATAATATACAGAATAAAATGCCCTTGGTTGGCAATAATTTGTGGGGCCAGGTTGGTAAATACGAACACCAATCAGGACCAACATTAAAAGCACGGATGTTGAGCTTGGCGTTTCGAAGAACGATGATTAATATTGGTACTGGTGAATAATAGTAGCACAGTATCGTAATAATGTAGGTGAAAACCAACATTCTGTTTCTAGGAGGTTGTCGAAATCATATCACTGACATCAATGCCTTGTCGTCAATCCACCGAATGGCTGTTCGTAAGAAATCAACTCGGGTTCCTATCGGGATAACCTCAATAAGCTGCGCAAGTTCCAGTGACAGGCAGAAGCGACAACTAGTCTGATTCCCACACGGTTTATTCATAGCTATAAGTAACGGCCACTTGCAGGGATAGTGTCTATAGGACTGCAGACTTTGCATTATTACTTGCATTAGTTTAATCGATTAGAGTCATCAAGATAGCGGTCAAAAACGGAGATTGCGGATTTCCATTTCGGCTTCGAAAATTCTTAAATGGCTTGCTAACTAAATAAACAACCTAATCGTAAAGTAATGTTGCGTATTTCGTTGACCCTTCTAGAACCTCATGCGGACATTCTGTGGTCAGCAGTGTTATACTCAGCTGTCTAGTGTAAAGTTCGTTAGCCAAGTTGCACCCAGAAGCGTATATTTGACCCTGCAGCAAGAAGTCTTTAAACTTGCTTTTTTATACCTACTGTTTAGGGACAAGTAAGCACATATTCGATTGAGATGCTTCACAAGCACGCTTAAGGAGATTGCCTAGAACAGGCGTCTTATTCTATATAAGAATCAATGGGGAAATATGTTCGAGAAGTGCTATTTAGAAATTTCCTGGCAAAAATCTTCGCCTATGAAAAAATTACCAGGCATATTGTCTTCACTATGATGCTTTCTCGTCGATCTATGCCCACGTGTGCGGATCTACAAAAATCGTTAGAGCGTAATGGTTGGTACGTATATGTATACAAACTCTTACTCTTTAAATGTACATATTTATATTTGACCTGAGATAAACGGTAACGAATGTAGATGTCAAATGATTTACGTAGATAAAAAGTGACCGTGACAAAATTCGTATGTGCATTACCCTGGCTGCCAGATGATTACTTTATTTAATACGTTTAGTATGTTTGCCTGTGGTATAGAGGTTTGTTCTCCACCTTCAAAAGAACTTATTTTAAATGCTCCATAGACTAACTGGCTGCAGTAAGAAAAATACTCTCAACTACACCGCTTGCTTCTCTTTTACAGACTAGCACGATGAAACGACGTTTTGCATTATGAATATCTTTTAGCCAAAAATTTTTTAGGTAAAAGAGTTGGATTTATGCCCATTCTAAAGTCTAAATATAAATCCGAATAAACCTAAGAAGTACACATACATGTGCAAAAATAATAGAAACAAGCGTCGATACATCTATCTCAGTATGAAAATATATCATTTAGATATAATAGGCGCCCTATCATCTCATTCGTAGCTAACTGCCGGATCTAAGTGCCGCTTTGCCGTTTACGTTAAGCGAGAGTTTCAAAAGTGAATCTTTCCTATAAAATAAAAGAAAGTTGTTGGAAGCCTAAAAACGTAAATAGAGCTAGCTTTCCAGTGTACGTTGAATATTTATACGTGTCCTGAATAATAGCCCCTCTACTTTTTTTACTACTACTACTGCTTCTTGTAAGATCGACTCAAGTTTTCAAACAACGCGAAACGTTGAACGAAACGCTATATACCAAGGCTAATTCGAAAGCGTTCTAACATCGTCACCATGGGAGGGCCACATTTTCGCCTACCCTGTTTTTTCTTTTAACTAAACGTTTTTTTTTTTTACAACATGCGGATCATTGACTGTGTTACGTGCCACATGGTCCAGCAATAAGTACTAGACAATATGCCATCCCTTTTCGTAAGCGGATTCGGTGTGCAGTTAACAATTTCTATGAATCCGGGCATCAGGAAAGATTTTCAAAATAGGAACGTAAAATTAGCAAAAACGACAAAACCTCAATTTCATCAGGTTATTCGCCCGGCCATTTTTTCTAGTTAGATGAACTATTAGATTTCGCTTGATTTGAACGTCTTTTCTTTAGTTTATATGTTATTAGATATCATAGCTGAAAACACCTTTTTCAGGAAACAATATTTTGTTGTTTTATAAAACTAACAGGTAATTACGATTGTTATCTTCTAACGCTACCTAATCTCGTGTTCGATAAATAAATTTATGGTGTATTACTCCAGTAAGTACCTGTTTGTGGGAGTTGATAATGGGAGGCTTTTCTTGACTGAACTACTACTTAACGGGTCACACGTTTTCAATTCTTATACGTATTCCCATAAACATGTCACGAATACCATGGAAGCAAGAGAAAAGCCGCAAGAAGTACGCTGGCGTAAAGGTTATTTTGTGTATTTCGTCTCTAGATGAAATAACTTTCAAGAGAAGCAGAAGAAATATAACTGTAAGCATGTACGAATTAAAAATGATTCCATTACCTTCTCGACTAGAACAGTGGTGATCGTAATGGTCCTGGCTGTAGATTTCAGCTTCTACAACGACAACTAAAAGGATTAGACAGTTCTAGAGGTTGCTACAATCTGCTACTGCCTCTACAGAAAAGACTATTTTGTCAAATGATTACACTGCCCAAGATGTACAAAGTAGCGTCATCTACACACGCGCACCCGAATCGACACAAAGAGCATTTGACCATTTAACCGGTACCTGCACGGTATGAAGAGCGCCACACGCGATACAACGTCTTATCCAAAATTTTCTCGCTCAAACGTTACTTAGCCGAATAAGCTTCGAATACCTTCGATGTCAGGCTCCAGATTATATCCATTTGCTGCGGTACCAAGGCTATCTTGCAGACTAGAACTTACGTGCGGTCAGCTGTGTTTCTCCCCTGTCTTAATTGTTGAGCCAATTTTGGTAACCAAAATCGCTACGATACTCTAGAGAAAAACCGCAAAGCGTTCCTCGTAGCTAGCGCGGACCATAGATAACGAATCCCTCTGCCAAAAACACAAGCTGTTGATCTCGCCAAAATGGTAGTAAAACTACAGTAACCACACGACACATCCAATATTCTGAAACAATCGAACGATTTAGCGATCGCCGTGTATTAATGGTGGCTTTTGAGCCGGCTTTGATCAACGCAACACCGAACAGCCAATTTGGACTTCTACAAAGAACCTGGACGAACCGCACACTGTTGTCGCGCTTGTGTATATATATATATATGTGTGTGTGTGTGTGTATACATCTCTTCATTTCAAGCCATTCATATATATGCATATATCACCTATAGGTGATCCGTGAAATTTAGTTTGACGCGGCTTGCCTGTCGGTCCCGTTGGTAACAGCAGCTTACTACTGGGCTACGGCAGCTGCTGGTGGCACCGTCGAAGCGTACGGCCGCCATTAAGTGCCTTACAACATGTTGCGCTCGACAGTCGGGAGATAACTATTAGTGGCGGTCGTTGAATTTAATTGTAATGATTTACTGTTGACGCGAAATTCTGTCACCCATTAATCGCAGCCTTACTTTTCTTTTCGTTTTTGATCATGGTAATTGTCGCAGTAGTAGGAATAATATTAATGCTTGTCCTCATGTTATGTGACGCTCTAACGGAGTGAGGTCGTCCTTGACCAAACCTTAATTCGTCCGTGTTCGAGCGACGGCACCGTTGTAGTCACTGAAAACAACCCTTCCCTCCCAAAGGCCATTGCACGAGCAGAGAAAGAGAAAGAGAGAGAGAGAGAGTGAGTGAGTGAGTGCCAAACTGCAGTTTATTAAATTATACTAATTAGCAATAGGCGGCTCCGTTTTTTTTTTTTACTTTCTCGCTTGCTCCCCATAGTGCCTTCCCCCCAATCATGACCGAGCTTACCTTTCATTGAAGTCCGTTCTGTTCAGGTGTTATGGTCACTCTCTAACAGCGCGTTTTCCTGTTGTCGGTCAGTACAGACAACAATCACGCCATCGTCGTTTAGTAAGTATTTTGCAAAAATTTCCAAAAAAAAAGAACGATTTAGGCAGCAGATGACATAAACATCTTCGTTCGTTCTATCTTTAGACCGTTTCAGTCTGCGCACCTTTTCGTAACTCACAGGGTAAATTGGTGACGTTCTGTTGATTTAGGTGATTCCTTTGATGGTTTCGTATTTGCATGTTTACGTTTTTGTTTCTGTCAGATTTTATCGAAATACTGCATTTTCGTCGTTGTCGACTACGTTGAAGACCTTGCTTCATTGAGACCCTTTCTGCTCCGCAGGGAAAGGTCTCGTAGGGTATTCCGCTTACGCGAAACGCTTGCGTATTCTCCTTTCTTTACATGACAACTTCATTTCTGTGACATATTCCACGGTTCAGTTGGCAAGAGTAACTTAGTTTTCCCTCTTTGTGTTTTTGTTAGAAACACACACACACACACACACACACACACACATACACGTGTTCATTCGTGCTGCACGCGCAATGTCCAGTGCCCCAACACACGTTCACACCCTTTCGTGATAAATCATTTAGGTAATAAAACTTCTAGCAAAATAGCTAACTCCGACTGTTGGTGTTTTTTTGTCTGTAATTTTTGTACAGATACGACCGAATTTGTGTTTGACGCGATGCAATGTTGAACTCTTGATGTGCAAAGATACGTTTTACCTATTGGCCTGACACAAACGTTTTATTGACGGTGAATAATAACGAGATAGTAGCAAGTTATTTCGCCTTCACTGGAGTTGGGCGCAGTATTGTGTGCGTGAGGATGTTGTACTATCGCAAAGCGGATGTTGGTTCATTGGCGGTAAATTCATCTACTACTAACGGGCAGTAGTAGTTTCTGTTCTGTTTGTCTCCAATTCTATAAATTTATGCCATTGTTCTAATCGCGGGCGTAATCCATCCGACACGCACGAGCAGTAAACTGGTTAGTAAGCCAGTGTGACACCAGTATGCTCTTGCTACGTAGCAGTTACTAAGTGCGCGGCCAGCGATCACCTGCTAGAATCATCTTCGGGCTCATTGCTGTTTTAAGGTGCTTTTCTTAAAGCGTTTGCCACTGCTGCTTTGGCAGCCTTTGCCGCCAGTACTGTTGTTGCTATTGTTGTTGTCCCCGCTGCAGTTGCGTTAACGAAACTTCTCGACCAGCAAAAGCTAAACAATTACTCGTGCTGTTCTGATTCACCGATTTGCTACTATATGCATCTAAGCTGGCGACGACGTTAGCGGCAGCCTGCATTCTGTTCGTATTCGTGAGTGTGTGACTCGTATTTGCCTTGCATCTGAAACGCCTGTTGTGCGCACTTCGCGGCGACGTCGTGGCCTAGAGTCTTCGTCATAATCTTGCAACAATCACTATGGCAACTCCGTCACTGGTGCCACTGCCACTACGTTAGCACTTTCGCCTAACCGACTTAATGGCTAGCTGATTAGCTGACTACAAGCGAGCCGCTGTGGCTTACGGGCGAACAATAGCACCAGCCTCAACGTTGCGCCTGAGAGGGACCGGGGCCCACCGATAACGCCACCACTCTGCTCTGGACTCCCGACGGCGCACAGCTTGAGCAGTCCGCTGCGTTCCGGCCCGGCCATATTCCTTGCTACAGCTACTGCCTGCTTCTCTGGCTGCTCACTCGCTCACTCACTCGCTCAGTCACTCACTCACTCGCTCGCTCGCTCGCTCGCTCGCTTGTAAGCTGCCTCTCGTAACTACTGACACCGCACTCAGTAACGGCTACGCCAGTAGCCGGACCGGCATCAAACAGGCATTTGTTTAGTTGGCAGCACCGCTGCGGTCTAGCCAAAAATACCACAGAAGAAAACCCGCCATAAGATATAGTTAACAATGGGCCAGAACTGTATTTATCGTTCGCAATCACCCAGCGTCGACTGGGTCACGACGACCGTCTGTCCATTGACTACGACAATGACACTTGCTGATCCGAAAATAAAGGAAGCCCACACAACACACAAACTAAAATTTGCTTTTGCAACGACGCAGTAGAGCTGCTCACATTAGAACCTGACTACTACAGGACAGAGGTAGAACTTTTTTTGTTATTGTGTCAAAGAAGATGGTATCGTATGTTGAGTATTTTTTAAATCTGGATAAAGCAGTTGTTCAGTTAGGCACAATCATGTGGTTCGTCTGTCCGTTCTGTTGTAACGTCTTGAAGTCTAATTCTCTTTTTTGTTTATGTTAATATTTACTGTATCGAATAATGGTTATTGCAGTCCTCTCGTTGGCAGTGCGCAGTTTATCCAAGCGACGCTATTCAGAATCTCATCGTAGGTGACAATTAAGTTCAGCAGCTTCGTGTTTCGCATTTATTCAGTATACCTGAAGTCATATTATACAGTGTCGTCCAGCGCTCATAATTAGCTGCAGTCCACCAGAAAAAGTTCGACAACTATCTAATGCAGTCTATTCGTTCTGCATTCGTCCATCTTTTGCCCTACATCCTAGTCGTCGAGTTGTCATAGAAGCCCAGCCAGCCAGCCAGCCAGCCACCCAGCCAGCCGGCCACAATAGCTATAACAATTTAGTTGCTCCTATTGCATTGCGATGCCAGTACAAATATCAACGTACACCACTAGGAACGTCGCTTTTATAGAATTTGATTCCATCGATTTCTGTTGTACTTATGTAAGCGAACAGTTGAGATGCCAATAAATGCTTCTCCAACGCGCTTTTCACTATTTTCAGTTACTGCTTCTGGTCGTGTCTTCTACTTAATTTGTGTCCTGTTTTTGTGGCCGTTTTTAAGGACAGCCAAACAGGCTATTGCAAACCATTGTAACGCATACACGAGCAAAGCATCGTCGGTAGCAGTAACGCAACAAATGTTATTCAACCGGAGAACGAGCGTGCTTCAACCGACAAAAGGAGAGAGGAATGGTGCGGGAGAGAGATCATTAGATCCAGAAGAATCACCGACAAGGAGCATTGACACTAGCGCCCACAGAGAGCTGGTTGGGAGAGTGCATCTAGAGCCCACGTCGCCCTGATCATTAAACGCTGAGTAAATTTGTCTCGTGCTGCTGAGCGAGATTGGTCGCATCGACAAATCATGCCTGCTTCGTATTGGCGCTTCCCTGTTTCGTCTGATGGAGCATTTCATCGGGCTGACCGCGACAGACCCGCGCGCGCGCGCTGATCGCAGTTGGTAGCCGCGCTGCGAGGAGAAATTCCAATAAAAACATTGAGGCATAAGGGGGATATCCCGATGTTAGCGCCATCTGTGAACGACGTTAGAGAGGCTGGTAGGCCAGACCAAACTCGCCAATGTAGCGTAAGAGCCCCGGCATGGTAGCGACGCTGCTTGGAATGATGGCTGAGTGATGGTCAGAATCAATGGAGGTTGTGTTTCGAAATCCACCCACCCTCAGATTCAGCCCATTTATTTAAGGACTCCCTGAATGGGTGAGTTATTCCCTGAATCTACTTTGAAAAAGTGATTTAAGTAATGTTACATCTCACGGTTCCTTTGATAAGATTAACAGGCAGCAGCGTATTCCTGTATCGATATTCGCATCTGCTTACTTACGTAGGCCTCGTTTTGCTGGTAGCTCGTCAAGGCGTAAATTGTAAATTCGGAATGGAACCCTTCCCAGTCGAGGCCTGCACTGATAGGCTGCTTGAGTTGAGCGTACTACTGAGAACAAGGGTACCGTATTTGGAATCCCAAATGACACTTAAACTCAAAGCTTGAGTAAGGTTTCCGCGTAAACGCATTATTTGGCGGTAAGCTATTCAAATTGTTTTTGTAGACTGAGTGTCAGTTGGGTCCCGATCTGAGTTCGAAGCGATCATGAATACTGACCACTCTGCTCTGGAACTTACTCCATGGATCTATAATACGCGACTTACCTTAAACGGTAGATGTTAATTCATACGCTTAAATACCACAATATTCTATGTATAGAAATCTTGTTGAGCCCACATAGGTTTGCACAGCAAAATGACAGGCCGACACATTGCAGCATTGTGTGGCCGTCAAAAACTATGTCTAAGAATAGATGCTTAAAACTGACCTCTTGAGTTACAATGACTCAGCTAAATAAGAAGAACACATATAACTAATAGGTGTTACTTGCTAAATTAAACAAAATGTATTTAAGTGTTGCTAGATTCCTACCTTTGTGACAAAGCTAAAAAAAAGCTTCAACACTTTTTTGAATAAAAGGTATGTTGCTAAAAGTACTCTTTTTATGTACAATTCATACAATCCAGTTGTTCATATTCTGGTCGCTTCGTGCTGATAATTAGCCGCCTGAGGCAACGTTTAACGGCAGTAGCAAACGTAAGACTTCAAACATTTATTTAGGTTATATTTGAGACGGTTGAACAAAAAAACGTGCCAATAAAGCCTAATCTAATAAATTACCACAACTGAAGTGATTACTTTCGGAAATAATTGTCCTCTTTCCTGCTAACACGTGCATGGGCCCCTACATGCCCAATATCTAAAATTCCAAGTCCTGTAAAATCCTCAATATTAAAATAAACATGGTTGCAAGCATTTTAATACCATTACGTTGATATGGTGACAGAAGTTCGTCCATTTATCCAGTCCTTACAACTGAGTTTACAACCGTGATACTTTGTACTTATTACAGGCACAATAAAGAAAGCCGGTTACACTGCTGATTTTCGTAAATTGAAAAATTCGATTTTATTGGATAACAAAAGGATGGAGCTAGGCCCTTCTATTTTCGCGTAGGGGCAGTTCGGCCTAACCAACTGCCAGTAAACAATGGTAAACACCTCATACGGAATATATCTTAGGTTATTTTTTTTATGCTTATCAAGTAACTATAAAAGTCAATATTTTGGCTATTTTTTTTTGAAAATATTGTTATTTTGTCAAATCAACCTTTACCAGTTGCAGAGCTCTCCTTCCGAGCTAACCTCAAAACGCGCGGAGGATTATGATTTTTCTGTATATGGTTATAAGCACGAAAGCTAAGTTCACAGCGTCATGGTCGTAATCGGAACAATGAGAATAGGCGATATTAGAAAAGAATTACTAATTGAAACATACCAAAGGCTATTAGTAAAATTTTATCAGTTGATTGAATATTGAATTCGCTGCCTGTTTTCTGATTATTTTCCTTGAGATGCCATATTTTTGTGACAGCAATTGTTTTGATATCTTTGAGTAATTAAATTAACATGTCCTTCGGCATTCTCATAGTCCTCTACAGCAAGTTAGTCACTACCATTGATTGATATGACCTCGTCGATCCAGCATGGTCATTGTAGGCGGCAGAATGCTCCCCTGACGCGTTCGTTGACCTCTTGTTAAGATTATCCGCCATGGACATCAATTTCTTTTCCTTGTCCCTGCAATAATTGTTGGACGAGTTGAATAACAATAAAACTTGTTGCCGACTCGAAAGGCCAGCCTGCAGTAGGACAACACATTTTTCATAAATAGCGGTAGTCTAATTTTAGTGACAGAGAGCAGCACTGAGCACGAAAAGCAATACAATAACCAAGCAAACTAAAACTGTATCCGTGCTAGTTTCTGAATGATCTGATTTACAGGTTGTTAAAGTGAAGCGCAGGAATTTCATGCTATTAGAATAAGAATGCGAAGAATAAGCGCAAGAATGAAATCTTTCGTTTTACCTGGAGTTCAATTTCAGGGGCGATGCCTAAAAAAGTTGCTAGAAGCAGCTAATTGCAGTGCCGACATTCGCTTAAATACCTAATCCTTCTTATTGTGGTGGATACTTCGAGGATCTTCTGTTACACCCCAAGTGTATTAAGCTAACCGACCTTTAATAGAACAATTTTAACGAACAATATGTGGACCTAAATAATCCTCAAGGCCAGTGTAGTATACACACGGTGTTTATAGCTCTTGCAAGTGTTCCCAACTACGGCTATCGTCGTTTGATTGAAAGATTTGCCATAAAAACAAGGTCATGTGTTTAATGGTTATGTACAAATGAAACGTCTCCCACAGCGATGGCTTGCAACGCTAAGATGAACCAAGAAGAAACCTGTAATGATATATATGCCAAAGATGACTCGCGGCCCCCGGCGGAATATAGAAAAATGGGTACAAACACCCAGAACGATAACACTTTGCGTCTAATTCAACGGATAAACTAAAGGGCGTTATGGTTTTCCAAAAAAAAAACATGTTCGGGTTACCGGTTCATAGGTGATTTGTCTTAAAGTTGGCGCGAAACATTGTCGATACTAAACGCTATAAACAGGTTACAAATGAGTCGTGAGTACTCATTGAGCCACTTCTTGGAACTGAAGTTCTGTCATCCGTGAAACGATGCAGAAGTCATTAATGAATAAAGATAATATGATTTGGAAACTTGGTAACGACAAAAAAGGCAGTGTTTAGACCTTGATTGCCGTCCTTTGAAATTTTATTTGACCGTGTGAACGTTTTTTTGACAAATCTGTTTGTTCTTCTTAGACACTAGAACACAGGCTTGACACAGCACATTAATTTACTGTAAGATAATCTTCAGTTCCCAATTTAAGTTTATATAGGAAATTCGAATACAGTGTTTGCAACTCTGTTAATAATCTTAGTCATGATAATCGATGAATAGTATCTTCATAATGCCACACCTTGTGCGGTGCTGTGAACGCATTAATATCTATAGAAAGCACTTGAATACAGCCATCATATAATAGTAATGTACAATGATGTCACCTACACAGCTAATGAGGACGCAGCTTGTTCAAGGAAAATTGTTGGTTGCCACTTAGGCGACGTATTAATCCAGTTTTCGTTAACACCAGCTTATGCTTTCCCTCCCCCTAAGTGTCATCATCATCGTCAGCGTTTGGCGTCGTCATTGCCAAAAAGACAACCTCGGCTCCCTAAGTGGAACAATTTATAGTAGCGACAAAACTGTTTCCGTTAATAGTGTTTTACACATTGTATACGTATATGCATTTGCATCGAGAATATCTGCCGACGTTATTACATACAATCTTATTTTTTCAGGCTTGATAAAATAAACTTTATGGATATTACCAAAAGCGCTAAGACGGTTCACCAACGGAAACTTCGATGATTTATCTATGCATTATAATATTATGCAACTCGTGTCACCAGTTGAAGCAAACTTTCTCAGCGCAATTATTATTAGCACAAAATTAATTTTCGGCATACGTGTGTGCTTTTCTCGGGCGTGATCCGTGTCGTTCGGTCGAATGTCTTTTCAGCTCTAATCCATTCCAACGCATCACGATGCGCCTTCGTCCAGACTGCGGGTACTGCGGCCATATATTAGTTTCTACCTATCTGTACCGTGACATGTCACGTGCAAGGCGGATGCCGCACGGTATCAGCAACAGTCGTGACATTATCGTGACTACACCGATAGTTAGATCAGCATGAAATGTTCCAGGTCACAGACATGTCAAACGACTAATTATGATTATAACATAAGCCCGATATTGCTACAGCGCCCTCCCACGTTGTGCATGACTGACTGGTACGGAGATGTCACCAACCATTGATACCACACCTGAAATATAGTAACAATAAAAAATTAGGTTCTATATTTCTACGGGACGGTGGTTTAGACTTAATAGAAGTTGCTATTCGTTACTTCTGCAAGCCTTCTATTGGTGCATTGGGAAAAGCTAATTACGTCCTATTCTCTGTCTGGTAAGTAATGTAGCGCTTGTCAATACGATAATAGAACAGTGCTAACAATTTAGAGACGTTACGTTAAAAAATCCGAATCGTCTACGTTACTTTAAATTATACGTGGTTTAGACTTATGTAGATTTCTGTAGCACCGCAATTCAATTGATCTTTTAGCAAAACGTTTTTGCTTTGATGGATTAATCCCAACCTAAATATATAACCTTACTTAAATACCTTTTGATACTTTACCTTTGTGGATGAGGTTTTGCGCCAAAATGTGGCCGTAATTGTCTCTCCCTTTTTCACAGGTTGAGGATCGGAAATTGGAATATACATCGGAAACCACGAATTCATTTCAGGGGTGTGCGTTGACGGCTCAATACCTGCAAATTGACAATAGAAAGCATGAACTCAGAAGTGGAAAATACAAAATCGACAATGAAGGCTGCTCATGACGAAGTAACAAAACTTCGTTAACCACCTAAAACTACCTTTATGAATACTACTGCAGACTATTGTTTTGTGAACCGATTCTTTAGAAATTTGGATAACAAAGTGCTAGACGACTGCTAGTTGCAAATAAACTTACTGATAATAATATCCTTGTAAAGGACGCAATCGAAATATCCGGCAAACCCGTGAAACGTGCACGAGCTCTTCGACTTGAAGCTTAGCTCTGCCCAGCGTTCGTTGTGCGAGTTGTCAGAGGGTGGCATACCCTCAAACGTTCTGTTTGGGTGGCTGAACGAGAACAGACGCTGCGGCGGTGCTAAATGATTGACATGCCTTTAGAAGAAAGATTGACAGACAAGGAGTATTTATTTTCAATCGCAAACAGTATTTTATGATCATTTTTATACATTTATTATTCTATAATCCAGTAGAAGGTTAGTCAGTCCCCGTGATAATGACACCTGATCGAACATACAAATGGACTAGGTGGTAGAACAGTATTAGGGTTATACCAGGCAGATATAATAACTGTTTAAATTTTATAATTATAAAATATTTAAAAAAATAAATAAAGCATGCTGGCGTAGTGCAAATTTATAAAACTTGCCAGCATGGTTGTTGATTTAAAACTCAGTGCGAGTTTCAAAACGAATCGCAATGTTTCCGCAGCTAGCTAGCTAGCTTAAGAAATGGAATCTACCAATTAATATAATCCATATAATGAACCAAACCATCAATAACTTATTATTATTATTAAGTCAGTAACTCATTCTAACAGCCGTGATTAAGTACCTGAAATACACAACGTAAGGCGTTTGGAGTTGGCCTTCGTGAACAAGGACATCTTCTCTCAGTTGCCGAGCCTGCCGATGCAACTGGGGACACTGTACAGGGTTCACGTACGAATTATAACAAGATGGAACGCTAATTCCTGAAAAAATTGACAATAATATACATTATTAGACAGGAAAAATATTAGTTATCGATCAGTATCTTAATTTTAGTTCTATTTTAAGCGAAAATAATGCATTATTTACAACATAGTATGGCCGCATAAATCTTAATCGTTTTCTTTTCAGTATTTTCTTATATTTCATCAAAAAAAATATGTTTTGTATCGACATGGTTTATTAATTAAACGTTTTTTTTTATGTATCAGGTATTTGCACGTTAATAATATGGCTGACACTTTTTTTTTTTTTACTAGAACTTGAATTTGATGACAAAGCAAGCAATCCATTGAAGTGCCCATCGTCTTTTTTGACTTCTCGGTAGTTTGGATTGTATATATCATTCATGCCGTATTACATGAATTAGGATGAATAAATGATTATTAGGACCAGGCGAAAGGACTTGGCGTCTAGCACGAGGACCATAGTCCGGCTATTTCACTAATTACTATACGACAAAACAGTCGATGGTGGTATTGGGTGACACATTAATAAATTGTATTTTGGGTGGGGTTATAGAGCGCTTCGATTCAGAAATCGTTGCGTAAAAACCCCTATGCAGGAGCTCCATGAAATCTATTATCATCGCAGATCCTTATTAATAAATGTCTATGCTCCAAAAGGCGAGAAGAAACACTTCATATCAACTCATAGGATATATCGACAAAACTCTTCGTAAGCGCACGTTCAGAGTTAATGCAACTCCATAATAATTAAAAACCTTTCGTCTTATGTCGTCTGATGATAATGTTTGAAAAAATATAAGAGCACAACGCTTATGTTTTAAACCAATTACATTCATTCATAGTTTATAAAGCAATTATTATAACGCACCGTCAGGCTGAAGTAAGCGTTGGGCCCCGTCAAGGCATTCTGGGGAGAGTTCGTTGTCGCCCCAACTTCCGAGCAGCTCGGATACAAGAATGTCGGCGCGCTCCCCGCCTGGTGGTTCCCACGTCCGCATATCACTATCCACCACCGTAACCTGTAGTGTGCATCACATTTATTGGCTCTTTCAGGCTTATTAATACAAAAGCAACTAGTTCGTACTTGGGCACACTTAAACATGGCCTGAAGATGATATTAACGATTGAGGCTATAATTACCTAATACAAATTCGATACATATGATAGATACCTGACGGTCCCAGCTGTCGCGATTTAAAATCCGAAGGACAGTTGCAGCACTTGGATTTTTTTCAACTGCAAACAACTTCACAGGAACATCGGTCTGAATCGAGCAATCGATACAAGCCTGAACCAAAGGACCTCGGCCTGCTCCGACTACCATGACAATTAGAGGACTCTGTTGTGAAAACAAAGGTGACATGGTTAGTTCAATAAATCTATTTCTAATGACAAACCTGTTATATCATAAAAATACCACAAGAAAGTCATGTAGTCTTAATTGAACAAAGAAACTAACCATCTAGAGAGACTTCTGTAGAATTCTCGGACAAGGCATCTGAAGAAAGAACTATGGACATATATATGCGTCGTGGCCGTTATCCGAACAGCATACCTGTCGTTCCTCAATCATGCCACGCCTATCCTCGAAAGCAGCGGTCAACGCTTCCCGGTATTTGGCATATTTCACTGGATCCTTCTCAAACACTTCATATGTAATACTTTCGAGGTGATCTGCTAATGGTTGCAGAGGAATCTGTAGTTGATCCTGCAATGGCAAAGTGCTACATATAAAATCGACGCTCCGCAAGTAAATAAAAGTTGGTTGTTATTCAAATATGACTAGCTAACTAATCAATATTTACGAGAGAATAACTGACCGTCAAAACAGCTTTCATATATATCCTCGAAATCATATAATTTAGATTTGACAATGGAAAAATAGAGAGCGGTACAAGATGTTTATCGAAAAGTTAGATATCCACCTGAAAACAGATTGTTTTAAACTTACACCTAACATGTGTAATTAAATATGGGACTTGCCTGATAACCCAACGTGAATTGCTCTTGTAGAGGTCCCACATGTTCTCTTCGGGCGAACATGTGGTTCAAATAGTCGGCGTACAATTTTGGGATAATCGTGCCACTTTTCCCCATGATTTCAGAGGCGGTCGGTGGCCAGCAGTTAGTCACGGTTACGATTGGATGAAGACCTAACAGCCTGCGAACAACAGCTTGGTGTGCTTTCGCTAGTACAGGAAAATTATTTGCATTTAAAAGGAATAACGTAGTTGAAATCGTCAGGGATGCCACCTACAAGCCAGCAACAGAAAGTTAAATCTAACAATCATGGAAATTAATTCGCTAAAAAAAGACCAGATATATTGGGTAGGTACAATGACTCTTTTTTTTATCATATATTCTATGAAAAGGATAAATGAAAGTTCGTCTATATCTTGTCTCAACGTTTTTTTATGGTTTTCTTGTAAAAAAATTGACAAACCTGTTCAGCCATCCACAAGTTAAGAATTTCATCAACAGCTTCTGGTAAATCTTCCGGAATAACTAGCGAAACCCAGATACGAGCGGGCTCTGAACACGATTGGCGAAAGGCTTCCCAACGACGGAACGGCTCGAATTCGTCTTCTGGCGGACCACTCTGAAAAAAAGAAAACAATTTTGAAAGAAAACAGAACGATTTTGAAAGTACTTGAAAAGTTCTTATGTATGATGCAGTTTAGCTGCTTGCCATTTAGAATCAAAAAACACAAATGGATATGGTTAATACTGCCTTAGAGTAATCTATAACAACATACAAACTCAAACAGTAGGTACTTACTAGTGGGACCCGAGCCCAAATTACAGGGACACTATGATTATGTTCTAGCCGATGAAGAGTATCCTGAAGAACGAGCGAAAAGTGTGCATTCCTTTTTGTTAGGTCTAATTGCACGACGGACACGCCGAGGAAGGTTGAGTGCTCAAGTTCTCTGTTATGAAAAAGGACATCGCTACTATTTAAGATATTTCTGAGAGATCATGAAAATCAAGAATCGTAAAAAATATCTTACAAAAATTAAAGAAAACTAATGATAATAAAGTATTGTTTAGTAATGCAAGATAAACTCAAACTATATTATTTAAGCTATAAGGGTTTGAATCTTTTATAATCGTCTAAAAATCACTAAGCTTTATTATATGTGTCACAACCCACCTCCTGAGTAATAGTTCGTTGCGTTTTCGTGTCACTTCATCCATGCCTGGATCGTCAAGTTCGAGTCCGGGCAGTACCCGGCCTTGTACACCCTCCTGTACGGTGTTGCTAGGTACCTATTAACGATCGATAGATACTATATATATATATATAATATACACATCTGTATTGTTATGAGTACACACACATAAACCGCAGAATAGAAAATCACTATAATATGGCGTACCGATGATAGAACGTGATAACGCTTTCTTGACCTCCTCAAGCTATTATGAGGTTCTTGAATTCTTTTTGTCATTCAGATCAACGTATCATTTATTATTGGATTTTTTTTCATGTCACGAGATTACAATAAATCAGTTTTACGCACTAGGTATCTGCGTGAAGTATTTGAGGTTAAAATAAATGAACTGAAATTCAACGTTACTTCAGCTTTATAACATCAAAGCAAACACAAGATTAATTAGAAAGGGCATGATCCATTTAGATTGCTCAAAACTAAATTTGTAAATTCTACCTCATGAGGTCCTCGGGCGTTGATTCCGTCTGAATCCTCCGATGGCAGTGTCATGTTGGTACACACATAATTGTAACTTTAATCAAAATCAAAAAGCTTCAAATCGTTAGAAGAAATGACATTGGTATCATCGCAAATTGTTGATAAATTTAGCAGCGAATTCAACATTAATAAGCAGGTAAGTCCTTACCTATGTTGAGGTAAAGCTAGCATTTTTTCCTGATGGCAGTAACTTCGTGAGATGTTTACTGTACAAGAGATCATTGGAACGAATTAGAACACAGTAATATCACGATATTGTATAAATATATAGAGGTAATAAATGGTAGGAGAACAAAAACAAATGAAAATATTGGCTAGTAGAAATAGGTCATTTAAATTCACGCCTTTGTACAAATAAAAGGTAATCCCAGAAAAAATCAACCACTGGGATGTTTATTGCTGAATAGTCCATTTAGATGCCAGAAACGATATTATTATAAATTATATATATAAATCACGACATCCCACATTTCTTTATGCATTGTTTCTATGACTGTGTCTAAATAAAAACAATTATTTTATCAGAACATTCTTGTTTATCCGATATGACCCCGATATAACCACCATTCACAGCAATTACAGCCTTAATTTAAGACATAAACCATTTCTGCTGGTCATTTTTAAGATACTCTTTTAATCTATAAATAACTTAGTAAGAGTACCTTTGTACAAAAAAGATATTGGTATAAGCGAACTCATGAATAAAGCATAGCTCCAATACGCTACGTATAAAAAAAAGCTTTATGGAATTAATGTTTGTTGCCGATAGTAGTACAAAAGTGCCAAAAATGAAAGACTTAAAGCAGCCAATAAATCTAAGAAGTGCAAAAATACTAATCGTTGAAGCTTATCGAGACTATCCAATTGTCAGTCGTTATTTTTTCTCCAAAATGGCCGTTTATTTCTATACCAAAAATCCAGGTGTATCAAAAATTGCTTTTGACCCCTCCTGGTAATTTTTTGTGCCTTTTGATTGAAAACCTATTGAGGATCCACCGGCTTGCCTCATGGAAGAAGGTGCAGGAAAATTGATAATAACGTAGACTATCAATTTCCAGAAGACAATAAGTTTTCGTGTTTTGATGCAGTTAAAGTAATTAGACAATTGTATATTTTTGCTCAAATTGCAAAAACGACATATTATTTTTCATCATGGCGAGCATGTTGTTTTGTTCTAGAAAGAACACGCTTTCTTCCAGCATCAAGAATGGCGGATGAACGCTCATTACAATAAACAGCCCGCAAAGGCTTGTCCCAGTTTAGGTGCGTACCGTGTATATGCAATGTTGTTCGGGTAAATCTTTTTAATAAAAATAATTCAATTAAGTTGTCGACATAATTCACTACAATACATCCCTAAAGTGATGTGGTTCAGAAGTTGATTCAATCGCACCCCGTGCAGGTAAGCCTACACCTGCCACTGGATATAAACATATAAATCGAGAGTAAAATCAACGTATGACGTATTTACCCTTTTCAACATCGCAGTGTAATAAATAGTAAACAGACTGATACTTAGCACAAGCACTGCTTTTGGTTTAGCGTTTCATATAGTTAAATTAATAGTTCGCGCCGAGTCCAACGGAAGAACATAAATTCAGATGGAAACGTTCCTGCAATTTGCCCTTTTCAGAATTTGTTATGTTAAACATTATTTGAAAATTGTTTATTTTGAACATACATTAGCCATTAGTCTTCGCTAGCCGTCACAGGGCGGGCTAGCCACAAACTCGGGTGTTCGCATGGTTTCACCGCAGTATGTGATAGCAGCGCCTCTTTGGCGCTATGTGAGTTCATACGTACCCTTCATTGTAAGCATATTCAACAGCTTTTGTAAGAGTTGGCGAGTCATAGAGATCAATACACACACTTAACCGGGGTGATTTGTCCGCCATTGTATCAGCTATACAGTGTAGCAGCTGTCACGAAATTTCACGTCCGGCAAAAATTTCTAGCACAAACGCACCACACTGATGTTCGATCCTATCGAATGAATGGGCTGTAGTTTCGAAAACTGCTGTGTTATCCCAAACACGCTACACAAAACAATAACATTGACGTCTGCTACTCTTACTATATAATCTCGCATATGTGCACGTTAGAGCGGCGTCCATACAACTTGCTTACTAATCTCGTTGATGAGATAACATAGCAACATAATTGCTTTAAACTTCAGTCAGCAATAAGACAGCAAATGGTGCGCGATCAGGTCGTGCATTCAATGAGTGTCAACTAACGTTTTATTGGCAAAAAAGGCCGACAAATAGTTGAGCAGAAGCGGCAGATTTGATTAATTTTACTAGCAATGTTTTTTTTTTTAATTCTGAAACCGCTCTAAATAATGCCAATACTTCTATGGTCATGCGGGGTATCTCCACCACGTTTCACAAATGTTATATCCCATCAAAATCAACTTATGAAATTTAAAACTAGAAAAGCTTGTACCCGAAGAGTTCAAACGCGTTGCAACAACGAACAATTAAAGATATGTAATTTTTATCGCAAAAAAGTATGTACTTTTACGAATTATAGAAGCCCAACAGAAGAAACAAGCCAATGAAGTCAAGAATTATGTACTACTGAGTGCTATTTTTTGCACAGATTGTAATGTCTGACCGTTTGCAAGCATATATAGGAGCTATACAATGAACAATATAAATCGTCATTATTCAACAACAATAATTATTTAGGTTTTATTTCAAAATAAAGAAGTAGCATTTATTTGACCGGCCGGGGCCACGCAGGTGACCAAGGCCGCTTTACATTTAGCTACTCCGTTTTTGAGGCAGTGAAACATTAAATTCGAATTTCAGTACTAGCAAGCTGTCTAATTTCGTAGTAAATTATAGTAAAGAATTGTCTTTTTTGGTCATAATCAGAGTCATTGTTTAAAGTAAAGCATTTTTCTTTCGACTCTATTAAATGACTGTTTCCTTTACATTGAACTATACGTGGTCCATATAACCCAACGTTAAGGAGCTCAACGGGTTTATAACGCAAATGCCCTACTGTGATATTTTTTCACGAACGAAGGCCACGTAATAAAGAAGGTGTTGACGAATATCCTGGTGCGATTTTTTCTCTTCTGTAGCACCGGTTAATTCCAACGATAGCGTTAGGTAGATTTGGATCCATATGATTCCACCCTCTTTTCTGTGCCCCCCAACAACATCAATTCCTTAATCTTTTATTTTAATATCTTTGTTATAATCAATCGTAGTGATTAGCCTTTAGTCTCAACAATAAAGTACCATTGTTTCGGTGTACAACGTCGTTCAGTTTGAATATCGGCAGCGTGTACTAGATGTATGTGCGAATGCATAACTGAGTAGCCAATCAGCTCCTGTCGCACGCTAAAGGTATTGATAATGTTTGGTTCTTTCTGGCGAGGGGCTATCCATAATGAACATCTTGTTCTTATCCAACTGTATGTCGTGGTGTTTCGTACGTGGGTGCTGCAGTCGCGGTAGCGGCAGCTGGCCACTTGCTGCTCCACGCTCAACTGCTTCCATCAGCGGCAGCCCCGGAACTGTATTTTCCTTCTTCCAGGTAGCAGTAACTGCCCTTGCCAGAACAGAACCCTCAACAGTCGCAACAGCGATTGCACGCAACTCATGTTGTTTTTCAGGCAATGTCCATCTTGCGGAGGCCCAAGAAACGGTCAGACTCGATTGGTCCCTTGTTGGTAATTTGTTCCAGGCTCATTCAGTCGTTTGCTCGCAAGCCACGTTTGCCGTGATTCGTACTCGTAGCTTTTGTGACGCCGACTAGGATGCTAGCAGCTGAAAAGAGTATTAGCTATATCTGTAATAGTTTTAGCGGCTCGTGATTCGACGCGACTGGTAGCTATTGATGATCTGTCGTCTCGCATCACCTTCAACGACAATATCGACATCAACGCCGTCGTCAACTGGATATCGCTGCTCCTGCAATTGCCGCTGTTGCCGCTCCCGGCTCGACTTAAATCGACTCCTGCGAGAGAAAAAAAAAGAGAGAGAGAGAGAGAGAGAGAGAGGTCAGCGTGTTTTCCTTCTTCTTCTTCTTCTTCTTACTTGACGCGGCCTCACGGCGACCAACAATCAGTCACTTCGCCGTCGATCTAAGCAATCAACAACGACGGTCAATCGTCCTCAGTCGCTTCCTATGGCAAGAAAGGAATAATTCTCTGACAGTATTTATTATACATAACGGCAACGGCGACGGTTCCTGTTAGAGATCTCACAGGATCATCTACAGTACACGGAATAGGTGTACGACGGTAATGGACGAATAAGAGAGCAACGAGAACACTCGCTCTAGTGTTTACAGACAGCTTTCCGTCCGGTCTGTCTACATGGTATCTTCCTTCTAGGAGTCAGCTTCTATCGAGTCACTTATCCGTCTATCCAGCTTCAGATGATCAGAGTCCAAAGCTAATAGCGAAAAGGTGCCAGGCAGACCAATGTTCTACTTTGGATTACACGCACGCAATATAACGATGGCTAACGGTGACAAATGATAACATCAAGGGCAGTGTTCGTGCATGTGCGTGCGTGCGTGTGTGGGTAAATTCACATTAATGGCAACAGCGAGTACCATGTTTTTGGCTCCGGATACAGACTTAAAGCGATGAAGATGAGTTTTTAGTGTGCGCGATAAAGTTGGCACTTGCTGATGTTGATGACCCATATATCTCCGTGTGTTAGTATAGCTTGTCGCCTGTGGTGATGTTGAATACGAATAAACAGGCCAAGGGTTTGAGGAAAAAAACTTATACTTGGGTCACTCATACCTTTAGTACTGGACATTAACATTTGTGGTGACTTACTAATTTGCTTAAGTATTTGCGTAAGTAAGCCGTAGCAACATAACGAAGAGACAATGGAAACTCAGGGATCAGACGGATTGGCAACACGGGTTTTGACAGCTGGTTCACCTTTACCAAATATGTACGCGTCATTTGACCACCGGCAAATGGCCGTTCAAGCAGCACCATATGTCCTCGTACAAACGCCAGCTGGTTTAATGCCTAGTATGGCGGTTGGAGGTGCTCCAGAACCTCCGCTGGCAGGTTTATCATCTCTTACGCCACCTCTATCAGTGAATCCGGGTAGTGTTTCAACGCCTCCAATCGCTTATTCGGTGCCGCCCTCGGTCACCGCTCCGCCGTCTACTATGATTTCGAAAAAGGTAATTAAATTTACATAATTACATTCTTCCATGTGTATTATAGAGCATTTATTCTGAATTTGCGCACCCAAATATCAAACTAGTTATCAACGACGAAGTGTAATCAAAGGAAGCTGGTCCTTGCTTTTGTAATGTAACTTTAATGATGGATTCCACATTCTGTATAATTCAGTATTTTTTTTTCGACATAATTCTTCCCAAATCACGGGCATAGAGAAACATATCGATGTTCAGAATGAGAACGTAAATAATTGGCTACTGGATTTGCTTACAACAAGAACTAAAATGAGTAACGTTTATACGAACAGTACTATTGCTAACGAAGGAAGCTCTGTTCGCACAAATAGGCCAAGTTACGTCCGGCAGAAAGTTATTTTAACCCTTTCAACCATCTTTGGCAGTAAGGTTCGCCGAATTGGGGGTACGTACTAACAAATTCACAGCAAGATTCTTTCGACATGAATTTTGGCTACCGATTTTAGACCTCTATATTTACGTCAAATCTTGACAAATAAACGGAAAATAAATAGAATTACAAGAGAAGAAAAATAAAAAAAATATATATATCAAACGATGTTTTACGATACGGGCCTCCATAGGAACCTTTTATTAGGGACAGCACCAGTTTGCTATTGAAATATTGAGGAGTGCAAGTTAGGTGCAAGGTTCGACAGAAACAAGCTTCCTTTGTGACCGAGAACCCAACACTCGAGTTACGTCTTGCTCAATACGTATCTACTATGATGAGCCCTTTAAAAAGGATAACATGCCGATCTTCAGGATGACATTGGCAGGGCCGCCTCTTGGCGACCGCTTAACCTCTTTCCGACTTTGACAAAAGTGTTGTTAGTAATGAGCAGTATAATACATGTCATCCAGTTAGAATGTTCGTACAGAATAAGCGTGTCAGAATACATTTTAGAAGAGTTAATTAATTTCTTCATCAACAAACTTGCAGCCTATTGACAAAAACTGTCGGTTGGAAGAGAAAAAAAAAAAGAGTATATATCTATTATCGATTGGCTGCAGAAAACAATTCTATATATTATTGGCTCATCTAGAAATTTTAGGTTTTGACATGAGCCGAATTATATTTGCTGTTCTCTTTTGACGCTAAAGACTATATTCTATAATCATATACAGTTTTACTTCCCTGGCACGATGTGTGTAAACGCATATAGGCTCGAATCAAAGCAGGATGCCCTTCGGCAAGATGCTCGGTACTGTTTTTGAGTTGACAAAACTTTCAACTTGTTTCCTACATGTTCTATTATACATATAAGTGGAGAGGAGAAATTTAAAAACCAGCTTTTCGTTGAGTAACGTATGAACAGTGAGTTAGGTAGAGAATAAGTCAAATCTGTGTATTTTATTACCTGTGAATTTCCTTCCTTCTTTGATTTTTTTCCATTTTACGACCAATACTTTGCAGAGCGCAAACTCCGATTTGTAGAAGCCTGTAAAAAAATCAGTACTAGGAAACTAGTACTAATTACCTATAAATCAACGATAGTGCCATTTTTAATAAAAAGGAACAGGATTCATTATTTAAGCATGAAACGAACGCTTTCTGCTACCACCTTAGCAGCATAGCAACAAACAAGGGTTCCACGAAGAACAGTTGGTAAACCGTATTTTTTTCGTATTGAACGCGTTTAACGTGAAATTATTCTCATTGTGGTACAAGTCAACCTTAATAAATACCCTAATCCGAAGGCATTATTGCTAAAAAAAAAACTGTCCGACCCACGATTGTACAGGTTTTATTGTATGTCTTCCTGACTGGGCAGGTTCTGCGAGTCTGTTATTAGTGGCAGAGCAAATAAAGCTTGATAAATGCGCGACTCAGTTGGATAATCATAATGATAATCGTGGGTGAGCTATTTCAGGGTATGGAGGAGGCGGCTAGATATTTGGCCCGATCCTTTTCCCTTGCGGAACAGGACGGGGAGTCGATGTCGTCAGCTAGGAGATCGAAACGACGCCGGTCGAGGTCGGTTCCCGAACTGCGCCACAAGGTCATATCCAAGGTTGCTGACCCTGATTACTATAGGTGGGTTGTTGTACGATCCAAAAAGCAGTATCTATACAGTTTATGAAGTAATCTAGTTAGATAACTATGTGTGCTGATTTTAAAGATTAATATGCCCTATCATTTCAAATGAAAGCTCCTCATTGTGATGACAACGGATCGACTAGGTTAGCTTGTTTGTAGTCGCCCTTGTATAAATCTAACGAATACGATAGCTTGACAAAAGCTAAAAGTAATAATCAACGAAAAATACAGTAAACATTTTACAACTTGTTCTATAATATCATAACGAGCTATCAAAGGCAAGTCATATTACATCCTTTCTTGTTGTTTCATCGCTGCAAAGAAAATTCGGAACGAACATAAGGAAAGAAGTTGAAAGGAATCAAGTTCAAAATTTCGCTTCTATCCTGCCATAACAATGATTGTACTAGCCATAAAATGAGCCTACATTGCACCTGTATAGCTGATAGTGTTATCGCACTGGCGATCTTCTCCATTAGTTTTACCTCAGGTCCGAAAAAAATGTCCTGTGGAAAAAATCGATGTCTGTTGGTTTAGTACTACAGCTGTAACAGAAGCTTTGGCTTCGTGTTTGATATGTGTATTTGCCTGTGCGTGCAATAGTCGGCAAGCTTTCTTCTAGAACTATGAACTTCCGCTGTAATTTGTTCCGCCTAACGCTTCGCGCCAACGCGAGTTGCCACCCGTTCGTCCGTTGATATGAAGTGTCAGTTTATCATTGAGAAAATAGATAGCTTCCGTTTATTTTGAACGATAGTGTCATACTTACAAATGATAGTTATTTTTTTCTCTACCTTCAGTAGAACATTGGTTGAGCTTATGATAAACGCAGCTAGAAGTAAAGAGGATATTCGAAAAAAATTCTATGTCTATCCCAATCACTTAAATTTTAATTGTAGCAAAGAGTTTATTGATGGTAGGGTTGGCTTGGTTAGCATTTTCCAAAGATCTTGAATTGCCTAACTAAAGAAGGTAGTTCCTATTGAGAAAAATAAGACCAACCTTGTTTAGTGCGCGATCCTATAGAAGTATGGATATGGAATTTACTATGCCCGCTTTAGCGACTATCAAACGAGAGTTGTTGTATCAACAAGTCATAGGCAAGAAGCGTTACAACACAATATAAATGTGTATTAGGTAGTGTTATAAAATGAGCAAAGTATTACGATACAAAGAAACCTTGCGGAAGGCAACCTCAATAGTTCAACACTTTTTTTTTATAACACAGTTGTATTATTATAAAGGTCAGCAACATTTACAGTTTTGACAACAAAGCATAACGTACATTATACGGATGCATTTTATATACTAACCTTACCTATACCTCAATGGAAATGGATGGAAATAATAGCCGACGAGTCACAAGGTCAGTATTTCTACATATCATTATTCTAAGATATTCTGCACGAAGTAACCGTTATCTTTGGTTTCGTTGCACGAGCAATTTTAGCGGGAAGAGTGTCGAGCTGTTGGAATGGGAGGCGAGCTTCTCGGTTAAAATCATAGCCGTTGTTTCTTAGTGCTCAGCGAATACCTGATTGAACCTCTATCTACTGGGCATGTGTCACTAATGCTAATTAAATGCGAATCCTGTCCTCCCTGCTGACAGAGTTGTTCTAGATGTGAGACGTCTGTTCCCTTTACTGATACATACCGAGCGAACAAACACTTCGTCTAGTGTCAAAGATTAATATCTGTGTAATAAAAGCACGTTCGAATACGCTTTATTCACACTGAGCGTCGAAGTATGGCAAGGTCGCTAAGTAAGATATATGGATATGAAGACATCGATCTAGCTTAGTAAATTGTGCACAGTGATACTGTTAGTCAGTAATTTCAATATAGCCCTCCTATGCATCTATTTCCATGGGCTAGCCTATGCGGTGACACGAACTTACGTCGAAATTAACAACGCGCTTTTAACAATCTAGGGTTAAAATTACAAGGAATAATTTAATGCTTTGAGTTCCACGAATGGCATTGCTCAAGACGACTGACGCCTGTGTTTATCCCAGTCCTTAAATTTATATTGTTTTATGTGCCTTTAGGATTCATGGGCAAAAACACTACCATTGAACAAGCCCAGGAAGTTGGTTGATTAGAATGAGATTAAAGAGGCGCATAACCTTACTTAGCCTACCTCTAAATGCAACGACTAAGCAACGACTGCTGAGTTAATGTATGAAGACCGACAAAATTCTCATCTTCCGTAAACACGGAAGTAGAATTTACAAAAAAGCTGACAATTTCTATTTAATGATTCTTCGATTACCGTTTAGTAAAGAAAGACGCCTACTCACTTTATGTGCTACCGATCTTTGGTACAGAAAAACGAATAATGAAACTGTTTGCCTACCGTGAATATGATTTTTAACATGTACGGTATGTTTATTACATAATGTCTCGACGTTTACGCAATATGACCGGTCGTCCCAGACGGGAAGTACCTCTTTGGTGAAAACCGACTAATGTATTAGCGCTTTTTAGCTGATATCTGTAAAATAAAATGATCTCTAAAAGGAGGTTGCCAAGAACCCTTTGCTAATTTGTTTGACTCTTAGAGACCGCTTGACTCAGTGGTAATGGCTTTGAAGCAACAGGCTATCGTAGTTTTTGTGGAAGCCACTTCTACGCGACAGCAGGCCGCGACTAAACTGGCCAATGGCAGCAGATAATGCGAAACGACAATGTCTCTTGTTGAAAAAACGATTCTAACGGACGCTCAGCCAAAGCTATCTCTACTATTTTCCGGATAATTTACCATTAGAGAGACTAGTCTCGAATGGGTCACTTTCATCGACCCATCGATCTACTGGTAAAATTTTGGTTTTTATATTGGGTGCAAAAAAGGCAATTGGCTAATTAGCTATAATTATTAGAAGCCATAAGCCATCTCGGTAGACACTGTTCTGTTTTCTACTAGGCTTGTAATGTGTTGTTAAATGTTGTAACAGGGAATTCGAACCTGAACCACAAGGTTCCTGGACTTCCAGCTTCTAAAACTGTAGAACATATATACATGGATGCAGTCTCAAATTTGCACATCTTTATTATTGTTATTATATTAACTAATGTCACATATAGTTGATATAAAAATTTAATCCGAAATGTCATCACGAAACTGTGCAACACTGGGGAAGCCGGTTACCTTCATGTGGCAAACTACGGCAAAATTCACTGTATGATATGAACGTTATTGTTTTGTCTTGTATCAATGAACCTTTCACGAAATAATTCACTAATAAAGCGAACAAACAAATAAATAGTTGTTTCTGGCACACTACCCGAAATCCTTATGTATAATGTTCTTTTTACAAAGTTCTTATTAGTAAACTAAAATAGCGTGACGGTACTTTCGGCGGTAATTTTTGAATATATACTATATTAGTGTACAGGATCGAAAGCCACATTGTGGATTCTTCTCTGTTACAGTTATTTTCGCTAGACATTAACTCTACTTCCATTGTTGACACTTTCATCAGTTCTCACCTTTTGTAGTCTTCAAAATTATCGTTTTCAACAGGCCAGTTGTCATGTGCAATTTCAACGTGTCATGATGCTTTCTTCATCCGTTGAAAACTTTTTGGCATTACATAAACCAAACAGAAAGTTCTCAAGGTGTTGACAGTTTCTCACGTTCTGTTACCTGTTCATTTAATTATGTTCGCTCGATTATGCCGTTCGTGGCAGTGTTCGTCGCAGTAACAACGGCAGTAATAACAAAAGCAAGAGCCACTGTATGTGTCCCAGAAAAGATTGGGAACAAATTGGTTCTGATGGGCTTGCGACACTTCTTTCAAGCGGGTTCATCATCTGTAAATGGTGAGAGCCTCGTTTCCTGGGAGCCGCCATATTGAAGAGACTTGAAGATCACTGATCATTCTGTATCCGCTTGCTTTTTCTTTCGATTATGTTCACGGAAACTAATTTAAAGCTGACATATTTCCTCCTACAGAGTAGGATACAAAATAAGATGATTGAAAATTCTTTGAACAGAAGCCGTTAATAAATAAAGCTACTCGTTTGATTTTTTTTATTAATGTTCTCCGAATGTAGTTGGTGTAATCAGGCCCGATTCGTTCAATCAAAAATCTAACGTTAGCCTCCATCAATAATGGACTACAAATGAGTTTCCGTAGTTTTTAAATGAAATTGCAGTACATTCAGCTATTTGATACATTCAAAGGTGGACCCTTTGATAACGTCATTTAAAAAAGAGTTCGACGCATTTTCGTTCGTACTCCGACCTATACAAAATGATCATATGAATTTGGCTTTTGGGGGTAAACAACGAAAAACGCTTTCGGCATAAAATTTTTCTTATAATTTCGACGGTTATCTTTATCGCCGCTTCTGTTGCAGTTCATCGGACGAAGATGACTACGTTATCGATGTCACCAAAAGCAAAGCAAAATCCCATGAAAATTGCCGGCACTATCTCGACCTCGCCGCTGGATCTGCACGAGAAGCTCTTGGATTAGCCAACATTTGGAGATTTCCCTATTTTTGTTTCATCAAGGGTGGTGGTAAGTAGACACGAACAAACAATAACTAGTTAAACTTTTTTTTTTTTTTTTTGGCATTTAACTCAATGTTTGACCTATTTCAGGTCCATTCCTGATGGCCTATTTGATCCTCTTGATAGTGGCTGGAGTGCCAATGATCTGCATAGAGATGGCTGCGGGCAGGGCTACTCACTCAGGCCCTATTCAAGCGATCGGCAAACTTGCGCCACTTGTGAAAGGTTAGATCGATTAGGTTATCATTAAAATTCTGTGAAGTAACCCGCCAACAAGAATGTCTTAGGTCAGTTTTTTTTATGGAAAGGTATAGAATTTAAAAGCAGTTAATGTTGGTAAAAAACTTGCGACGTCGAATTACCATATTGTTATTATTGTTTATTGGGTTTTTTTTATTTATTTTTATATTTTTTTAAATTTCTTTATTTATTATTATTATTATTATTTATTATATTTATTGGATCTAGATTACAGTAAAAGACATGTCATGCAAAAGGACTATGAAAAAAGACGTTGAACAACATTACATTAATTTGTATGCACGCATATTTCTATTGATTGAGGGTTGTTGTAACGATGGAAAATTTTTGCCCCGGGAGAAATATTTTTAAATACATAAAATGCCGTAAATAGACGACGACTAATAGATTTGCGTGAGTCTATTGAATGTGCGCGATAAAGTGTCTTTAAATATATATTCGGAGAGCTAATAGGCGAGTTTGAAAGTTTTAATTTGTATATGGTATGGATCAAAAAGATATCCTCATCAATTAGTAGCTCACCAGATCTTCCCAGCTGTCTATTGTGTATATAATCCTTCCGAACGATTTACTTTTCGAAAAAATTATTTATGGCTAGTTTATGTTAACGCTACAGCAGGCGTGAGCGTTCAGGTGAACCCGATGAGGGCCGAACGGACAGGTGATGAAAGAGCACGGTTAATTTATATAGTGTCGTTCAATTAATTAATTACAATCTTACACTCAATCTAAGCCATTGTTTCAAATTTTCACAGGTGTTGGATTTGCGGGCATCATCATTTCATACTTTTTGTCGACAATATACGCGATCGTTTTCGCTTGGTCCCTGTTCTACTTCTTCAATTCATTCCATGCGCGGCCGCGGTGGGCTCGTTGCACTAATCCTTGGAACACGGCCAACTGTACTCAAGATCCTGAACAGTGGTACAAAATCCGCCTTGCAGGTACTAACTAATAGTTCGTCCTTAGTCAAGTAACAGATTCATGTGTTTCGATAAAATACTGAATTCCAGGTAGTTGCATGTCGTTTACGTATCTGTGGGTGGAGAACATAAAATTATAAAGTCACGCGCTGCCATATGAAAAACAAAGAAAAAAAACGCTCAACAATGGACTTGAAATAAAACAGTAACGCGTTCATTCTATTGTGTTAGTAAGTCGCATAAAAATACCTAAATAAGTTATTAGAGCACAAATTAAGTTGTACGAAATACAGGAAAACATAATTCACCTTAATTTGTTCAAAATAACTGTTATTGTCCTGACTTGAAAGTGGCCTTTAAATCACTATATCATCAAGGGGTGTTCGTCCGTTATCAGCGATGACCACCCCCTCCAGCATCAATGGAACCGATATTGGAAACGAAACTGGTGGCGTGACAGATTCCAATGATGCCCTCTATAAGGGGCTCTCAGAACAGCTTGCCGAACGAACTTCAACTGCACAGGAATTCTTCGACATCAAAGTTATCGAGCTCTCCGACAATCCCAACACACCCGGTACGGTATGAGTCCTACACAGGACTAGTGATGATTCTTCAAAGCAAAAGAAATATCCATATAATTGTCGCGTCGCATCAGTGACGCACTATACTACACGGCAAATTTGAAGCAACGCTTAGGTACAACAACACTATCCATTATATTTAGTCATTATATTTATTGGTATATTTATATGCTGGTAACTTTAATAAAATAAGTTATCAGCATGCAACAAGCTTTGGTAAATATGGCTGACGTACATTATATTCATTTCCAATATATTGCACATTAGAAATTAAAGAATTTCAATAGAAAATTGTTAACTTCGAAGAATAAAAGTCACAATGCGTGTTTTCTGCGAATTGAGTCTGCCTTTGTATAGTTGCACATGTAAATATTGCTAATATTATATATATATATGTATATATATATATATATAGCTAGTTAAGGATTGTTCGTTACTTCTCATAGGCGTAATCCGATGGGAGCTTTTCGCATCTGTAGCAATTTGCCTCCTTTTGGCATACATCTCGCTACGGAAGAAGAGCTTCTTCAGCGAAAAAATCAAATATGTTCTATCTATTATCCCGTTCTTCATCTTTGCCGCATTCCTCATTCGGGTGTTGTTGCTCGAGGGCGCCTATGACGGCATACAATATTTTTTTACACCGAATTTACCGGTAAGTGCAGTTCCGACGAGAACTTATCATTTTATCATTAATGATTTCAAAATACGTATGATTGGCAATCGATCCCTTCGGAAGAGATCTTTGAAAGCCATAGAGGCTATATTTCTCCATTCCATGTGTGCAATGGCGACGGCTGGGACTGTTCTGCAACGGACGTTCATTAGGCGATGAAGAACGCGAAGCTATGGGTTTTTGCTCTAGCTCAAACGATCCATTCGCTTGGACTTACTCTCGGTCCCAACTATGTTGTGAGTTCACGCAACAAGAAACAGATTTCGCTGATGCGTGACACCACACTGACGGTGCTCATTAATGTTCTCGTTGTGTTTGTGGTTGGGTCCGTGACTTTTGGCGCAGTCGGGCATCTCTGTGTTATCTGGCGACAAGAACTATCCAGCTCCTTTTTCCATAAGGATCCTGGTAAGTCCTGAAAGAGTTCTCATAAAAAATCTAGTGGTTCAAACTAACGTCAGGTGTGGCTTAGATGCTAGGTAAGTGACACTATAAAGGAAATACCTACCTGAAAATAACAGTAAACTTTGCAAACTGTAACACATGCCTATTGTAGGTCTTGTGTTTGTCATGTACACGGAGGTGATCAAGCTGATGCCAGTGCCTCCAGTGTGGGCCGTGCTATTTTGGTTCTTATTCATCTGTCTTGCCATGGATTCTATCAACACTATCACTTCAACAGTAGTCCATGCACTCGAAGAAAGCTATGGCACCCTGATTAAACAGCGTTTTCAGGTGAGTAGTAAAAGATATACTATGGGTATTTCCTAAAAATTCAGAATAAGTTTTACAAAAAAGTCCATCGTTTATTACTGTGCGGCTGCAAAATCCAAGGCCTATGACTCGACTCCCGAACCATGCCGCAACCAATATTTGAACTAGCAAGTTGAATGTTAATTTTTTGTAAGAAGTAATTTGCTAGATTTATGGGTATTTAATTTTGAGCCAATTGGTGAATCAAGTTGAGTACATAGCTAACCAAGACGTACCCAAAAAGGCTGCGCACAGGCTTTTAGTCGCGAATACACTACACGCTTGTCAGATTTCCTTCCTATTTTTAAAAGTATATCTAAAATTAAGCGTGATACTACGTTTATTTTGCAATTGTTAAATCTAATTCCTTTAAGAAAGCCAGGCTTGTTGAGTTGGTGTAAAATGTCGTTTCTTACTGCAGTTAGATATTAGTTTACACGACTAGCCGCGGAAGCTAGGCCGGCCGTACGATGATGACCGGCCCTCTGACAAAAATTCGATATTAGCAGAAATATATATACACGTTTCTGTAGTTAGTTAGTTAGGAGCCCACAAGCTCGCCTCATAAAACTGGAACCTCTTGCATCGGATGCTTTTAAGTTTAAGCGATTCAATAGATCGCAGGACTGAGTTCCACTTAAGTTCAAGATAGACCTTCGTCGGGAAGCGTTTTTTACGAAAGAAGCCGGTATACCTACGGCTGGCGTAGTTTTGCGAAAAGATCTTAATCTCTTTCACCTCTGTAGTTGTAGAGCGCACATGGACTAAAGTACAATGAATGGATTTTATTCTAGGGTCGAGGATTTTTCCTGCTATTTATCTGCTTTGGCTGTCTCGTCATGGCTATTCCCTACGTGACGGATGTAAGTCTGTAAAAAGAACTAGAAGCCGCACTATCCTGAAAATGTTACTTCCGTTGAACTTACGTTTTTTATGATCTACTCGAATGGATATATCCGTTAAAACATCGTAAAGTAATAAGGGGCGTTGGCAGAAAAATGCCTGAATATTTCATTGGTCAAGCATTGCAGCAGTGATATTTTCTACTCCTGTGCTTATTATAAATCGTCAGTAATGGTTTAACAACGTAACCACCGCCGTACTAACCGCTCGTTCTCTGCCCTTATACATTGATAATAGTAGCAAGGACAGATGCGAAATCATTTTAAGGATAGTCCCATCTGGATGTTTTTCTGCTCGTCGTTGAATCTATTGTTTGCATTCGATAAATGCTCTAACGACAATTTAGTCATACCTATTGTTGCGGTTATCTGGTGCCGCTGTTTCCTTGTTGGCTCTTGCCACTATTAAGACAGTTCGCTCTTCAGTTTCCCGATACGAGCAGCAGCGGACCCCGTGAGACGATCTGTAACAAATTACGCGAGGAACGATTATCTGTCACACACAATAATTGGTGACGCATTTTTATGTGGCGCGGTGAAACTAGTGCGCGATTATTATTATTATAAGGCTATACATTATTCGTACTGTTTTTACTGCTCTTAGGAGAAAGATTTAGGTTCGGAAATTTTCTGCCAAAAGACACTACGTAGTAGTTGATGTGAGCGTTCACGCATAACGTAATGATTTTTCTAGTACGACTTATTTTGATCATTATTCTAATTATAAATATTTTTTTCTCGTACTAGCTGTTATAATTAATGATTCCAATAGCGTTTTCTAGCCTTTTGTTGCGCTTTAGCAAGCTAACAGATTGCCTTCTTTAAAGATAAACATAACCGATAGTATCCCATGTTGATACACAAACAAATTACGGTAGCGGTTAACCATTTGAACATTTACAATCCCTAGGCTGGCCTCCACTATCTGATGACCGTCGATTATTACATTAGCACACTTTGTATTATCGTCGTATGCTTCGCGGAGCTGTGCGCCCTTGCCTGGCTTTACGGTAAGCCAAACTGACCATGAGACCTTGCTACTAACATTTATTTATTATATTAACTTATTAGGCACTTTTTTTTGTTTTTTTTCAATGTATATTACTCGTATGGATACGAGGCACAAATAACGATTTTTCGTCAAAAGTGCGTACGCCTGTGATGTCGAAACAATGTCGCTGTTGGCTAACGAATTGTGCCGAGAGTTTAGTATCTAGAGTTGATAGCGTCTTGGAATCTGCGCATGTGAGAGAGGGAGAGTGAGTGAGCGTGCGCATGTCTCCTGTTTGCAATGATCAGGTGGTCAGAATCTTCTGTACAATACCGATGAGGTATTGCACCCGATCCCCTACGTGTATCTTCGCATGTGTTGGGCAACGGTCAGTCCATTGGTGTTCATGGCGGTAACGGTTTGCGGCGGAATGACTCTGCCGAGGCCGCTGATGCGAGACGGCAAACCGTTTCCCCTCGGTGCAGATGTTGTTGGATGGAGCCTTTTTGGATTTGTACTGCTTATCGTGCCAGCACTAGCGATCAGAGCCATCGCACGAGCAGACGCCAGCGGGCCCATCGGGGTGCGTAAATGAACACAACGAAATTCGAAAAAAAAAAAGTCCAATACGTAATTTCTTGTGAGGGTAGCCATAACCTTATTTATTTTATACATACATATATATATATAGACACACACACATTTCTTTTATAACAGATGAGTTACTTTAAAAACAGTAGTATGGCGTATTCATTTAGGCGCATAAAAAGGTCAACACCTATTCCGCATGTAGTTCCATATCTATTTTGCACTCACTATTAGCATATAGAGAAAATCTCAATAGAGCTACTCCAGCAACGTTTTTAATTTCATTCTTAATATTTAATAAGCGAAAAAGTAGTGATATTTTTGAATAAGTTACTTCTAAAAATGACTTCGACGCAGCAGGGATGTCCAATAAACCGTTTATTGTAGAAGTAGGCTAAACAACGTAAAATCGATTTCACATAGACTTATCATGATAAATGAACATTCATTCATCTTGCAGAAAATCAAAGCGGCTCTGCAGCCACAGGTCGTTGAAGTCAATGATGATCTGGTGTATCACGGGTGGCCATATTGGGATCCGAAACCGCGACACGTATTCAAGAACGGTGCATCCGTCTATAATGGAGCACGTATATAATACATAGGCCTTTCTTCTGTGTTCTGTTGCAAACAATAGATCATATAGTATTTAATGTTCGCTTGGTAACATCTCCCGTTAAATGTTTCTGATGGAACCTGTTTTATTTAGATGGCTGGCATGCGAAGGTAACACATGAAACTATTACGTCTGTTATACTTCGCTTTAAGGCTCAGGCGTTGTTTTCTAGGCGCTAGACGTTATTGTAACGCTATCCAAGAACTCTTATCCGAGTTTTACATTTTATGAAACCAGAAGCGCCAAAGCCGCTGTATGCTGCCTTTAGGACAGCAGCGTTCGTTGATGTACCTGAGTTGCTTCGGAATCGATAGAAACCTCATAGTGACAAAGTATATTTATTAATTAAACTCGTACTTTTGTCGAAAAATACACCAACCACTACATGACTTTATTGGTATCTTTTACGCTGCTTCGCATCATCTGACATATCGTATTTAAGCGACAATTGCGCAAAGGGATCAATCATTGGTTTCGTTTAACACGATCACTTATCAAATGTTTACACTTTTTCGTCCACTTTACCTGTACCAGTGTCGTCTGCTACCATTGAGTGAAGTCGGCACTTCAACGCCTGTTCCTATTTAGAAAATGGTTATTCTCATAGACGCATCGTTGTTCACTGTACGTCATATGGCAATGCTGTCCGTGTTTGACTTATTTTACATCAACCAGTGGTCGCCCCCCTCGAGCTACACACATTGCTTAAGCATCGGTTAGAAGCCGATTCAGATGTTGCGCCAGAGTCCAACCTAATACTGAGCAATACTAGATTCACGTTCATTTAAGAAGAATACTTCTCTCGCTTATTTTGATGTGGCACGCCACTGACACAGCACGTTTAACTGCAGGGCCCGCATTCAATCAACATAGATGCTGAACAATACAGCCACTCATTATTGGAGAAACAAAGTCCATGTTTGAGACGCCGTTTAAGCCTAAAATATTTAACCGATCGACACCTATCGCATTCGTGTATGCATACGTTGATCAATAAACCGTTGAGCTATTGGAAAGCTTAATTTGCGATAGGCGTTGTCATCCTGCTTAATAAAGTAAGATTGACGATTTTGTTCGTGGGTTCGTGCTCAAACTTTAATTGCCAAAATAGGTATGCATTTTGATTCATCATAACAGTCGACAAAATTCCATGCCAATGTTATCGTTCTGACCTCTTTCCTGCTTAGATGACGGGCCAGTCTGGGGCTATTAGTGGTCCTCGTGATTCCCAGTTGCTCCATTGGTGATGTAGCCTAATATCTTCATTCGCTTGCCTTCTTATTGTGTTACTACGAGTAAGCTGCCTCTGAGATATATTGCACACAAAAAATTCCAGCGGAATTTAATTTCGAGCTGGTAGTAGGCCAAAAGTATGGAGAATGCAGAGTCGAAACGGCTTAAGGGACCAAAAGATAAAAACGGAGCCCCAAAAAGGGCTAACCGTAGGAACCTATCTAAACGATCTAGTTGGATCTCTTTCCCAAAGCGGGCGTCAAATGCTTGCGAGTAAAAAAATTTAGCGTATCAAAAATTGCTTTTAGATCCATTTTAGAGTTAGTGATTTATTATTAATTAGAAATCCTTTAGGATCCTAACGTTATCAAAAAATCCTTCGGTCGGTTTGTCTCGGGAGTATTTTCCAGAATTTTCAAAAGCCGTATCAAAACCGGCAATAAAGAGATTTCAGGCCAACCTAGTTTACTATCTCGTCGACGTTACGTCCCACCTTACTGATATTTAGTCGGTTGACACTGATCCAGGTTACGACAATGAGAGATGTTGTGTCAATAACCGGCCTTCTTTCTAGCATTAAATATAGAAAATAAACGGACGCTCGCTACAACAAACAGCTTGTCGATTTCTCTTCTTTTAAATAGGATACCATAGATATAGAACGAGAAAGACCAAAGTATTTACTGATTTTACTATCTCTATATGGTTCTAACGGAATTATTAAATAACGATTTCAAGAAATGCCGCTTCGCTTCACAGTTCGAAGATAAATCTTCAGAATCCATGATCCCTCTTACGATCGTGGAGTCGTAGCAGTGATCATTACCTACTGTGCAGTTGCACATGTTGCTTTACGGGTATATGCATGCACAAGCGTCTCGTTCTAAGAAAATTATCTCTATAGTCTAATGGCCATTGATAACATGCATGAAAAAGCTGATTAGTAATAAGCTATGCCTCGACTCTATATTTCAGCTTAATGTATCTTTTTCCTACAAACTCCTTTATAGCATTAAAAATCCGTCTCTAGTTAGGTTTCTAATAGAAAACAAGACTCGAATCATTGCTGATGAGAAATTTTAACGAACTGGATAAGTTTACTTTATTGAAGTGACAACGATCAATTTGTGTATATACTGTGTATATCTATTATTTATTTTAATTATTCTTTTACATAAACGCATAGGCAATTACGAAATCATACTTATCTATATATATTTATACTAGGTTGTATTATATCATTTATGCGTGGAAGAATGAACATAAGAGATCGATCTTCGGTTTTGCGTTGAAGATCGATATGGATTCAAAAGCGCATATCGCGTAGTCTACAGTATATTTTGTAACGTTTTTTTTTGCGCCATTCCAAAGCAACTGAACTGGCAATGAATACAAACTGAAGTTGAACATTGTTAAGGCTAAGAAGCTTCGCTCCGAGCTCGAAACCTACGGAGATCTTACTATTATCATTTTAGATAGGCGCTGTGCCGAGATTCGGTTCTGCGAAGCCAATAACCACTTCGATATTCGAGGCGTCCACACGGCTTCAAACCTCAATGTATTTAGTTCTCCTTAAATCTATTTATCTTATTAACTAATAGACAATAGTAATAATCCGTGTGTGAAATTCGCCAGATGTGTATGTTTGTGGGTGTCATCGCGCAGGGTCTTTGATCTTTCCGCGCGCAAGCCTAAGCAGTACCAGATTTTCCTACTATCTGGACTCATTTAGTGGCGTGTCTTGGCACAGAGCAAATACTGGGTAATTTCCGATTTGTACTATTGATAACGCATCAATCCACTATACAGAACTAATTGTGTGTTTTTATCATAAGTACTTATGTTAAACACAATAGTGTAACATACTAGAAGAATAAATAGATCGTAAACGAAAAAAATTAATCGTAAATAAAAATAAAGCGAACACAAATCATAGAAGCAACCAAGCAACGTCCATAGGAAAAACGAGCTTTTCTAAAGCTGTACTGATATCACGGGTTACGCACCAACACCGCAAAACGGGAATCAAATAGTATCAGTCAGCCGAAACAAACGGATCATGGGTGTTAAGCGATATCACAAATCCTCTAATGGGACGAACTCTTAGAACTCAACCGCCTCTGTACAGATCTCCTATTGCACCCTAATAGGGACGGGTGGCATAGAACATAGACACATTAAAATGGTACATAAAAGTAGTAAAAATAGCCACGGATAACAGCAATGCCTCATAGAAATGATGTTCGATGAATTCAAATATTTAGGCTATAGCTTCGCCTCTCTATTGTGAGTGTGTGTTTTAACAAACCATAGATTTATCGTTCATTCACCACCATGGAGCTTTCTAACGGGCGTGCGCTTCTTGTTTAGTATTTTTCCGATACCCTGCTATATCCTTTATTTTACGATCCGCCTGAACCTAAGGTGTCCATGTGGAAAAGATCAATTACAATGTGTTTAGGTGTTAACGCCGACTCAAGGAAAGGCGCCATTGATCTCTGAAAGTCTTGACCAACTAAGTAAACAAACAGTTGGAGACAGCTATTTTCCTTTTTCTCCAATTAGCCGACCGCATTGTTACTATTGTTATATTAAAATCATCCGCTTTGTAGTCGGAACCGCCAATGTATCTTTTCTCGCATACAAGGTCCATGGTCTTTCTAATTCTGATATATGCTCTTCTCTTTTGCATACGTTACTCGTGTTTCATTTTTCCTATGTATTATTACCATTTATTATTTTCATTATCACCTCTCTCAAGAATACCGTATTTTTTACGCATCTTGCTAGCTTTCTTCTAGCGGTGATTCTATGGAAGATATCGTCGGAACTCCGAAGATGCGTATACGAGGATTTCGTTATAGATCACTCGACATGGTCACCAAGCCCGTACAGCCACGGAATTGTCATAAAGTTATTATTCATTATTATGGCAATTATTTATTGAATAATTATAATGTCATTTGCAGTACATACATTTTCTACTTCATCACCTATGTATTGTACGTACATACACGTATGTGGGGGCATGTGCTGTGATAATGATAATAGTACATATGTGTATTGTACCAGTGCTTCAACTGTGACCTTTCTGTGAATTTATTAGTGCAGGGAAGCGTTCGTGTTCTCTACCAACTTCGTCCAGATTAACGTGCTTTGCAAACATCCGTACGAGATCCTGTAGGTGTTTGTGTCTGAATTCTCCTTCTGTTGTCATTTGATAGTAGTTTTTTTCTTGATCATTAAGGCCAGTTGTATTTATTCTCTGTTCGTTGCTTAGAACAGTTTGTTCTTCAGTGCGTCGGCTTTGTCACCTCTTGAGGTAACATCGGAAATTTGACCTCCTTATCCAATCGTCTTGTTTCTCGTACTCGCTCATGTTATTTTTTTCTTCAAATATATTTTCACTAGATCAGGATTATGTCCATCTGTGTATAAAGTTCCTACATTGTTCGTATTTGGCAGCTTTGTGAAGTTTTTTACTTACTGGCCTGTTTGTTTGCCAATTTATTGCTAATATTGTTCTTTTTTTTACACAGCTCGTTAGTATTATGCAATAAATTGCAAAGATGTACAGTGTTGTATACGTTTAATGATGTCTCACAGAATTGACGAATACAGGACACATTTATTTCTTGTTGACGTTCTTTGCTAGAATGTTGTCGCACCTTGTTTGTCGCCATAATTACGTTATATACACTTAAAATGTATTGCTAATCATCTTTATTAGGTACGTTGTTCATGTCAATAGATAAGCTGTACGGCACAACGCTAGTAAGGGGACACAAACATAAGCGCATGATCATAGCCGGCTAGTCAGGCGACTACTTTCATTAATTCAAGTTGAGTGTGATGTCGCCGTTCGTTGAGGTGAGGCCGAAGTGTACGAAGGTTAGCCAGGGCATCTTCTCTCGAGTATTTGACAATACGTATTTGAAATCACAGACTAGAACCAATGTGAAATCTAGCTATTTTGCTGTTCCGCACCACGGTGCGCAATCCATGCTGTAAACTTGCTCTTACGCGCCTTCGACTATTCAACCAAATCCATCCGTTGTTCGATTTTCCAATTCAGATTGTTCTTAACTAAGCAACATAAAGACAACATGAAGAACTAGGCACCGGGGAAGACACTGGCCATACCTAAGTATGGCTATTGGTCTGAAGCGAGTAAACAACATTCCTCCCTATTGTAGAAGCATTTTTGCTGTTGTGGTTTCTTTTTCGCTGTTACGATGATCAGATGTCTTCATAAAACAAATTCAAATAAAGCTCATAGAATCTCAGCTTGCGATATCTATATATATATATATATATATATATTAGACGATGTACTAGCCCTCTGGTGTATGAGAATGGATAGCCGAAGGTTGTTGATACGGTTACATTTTTATCACTAAACGACACTCCGAGTCACTAAACAACAGTTGCTTGCGGGATACGGCGACGGGCCCTTCACGCAAATCTGCCATGACAGTATCAGGGTATTTAATATCATAGTTAGAGATGAGTCAAGATCTTAGACAAACCCTACATGCTAAGATATTGAATATGCAATAGAGAAATTAACTCCATGTAAACCGAAAATAATTTAAAGCCCTGCGTTTTTATTGTAGTGATTTTATTATATTCGATACCTACGCACGCAGCAATTTTATGCTGACTAGACACAGAAGTTGTTTTTACTGTGTAAAAATTGAGCTTTTTAGTTTTGGTCACCACGAATCCATTGAATTAAGGTCAACGAAGTGGGTCAGCTTTTTAGTCAGCTCGAACGAAAATTATTTTCGTATAGACAGCATATAAATATGCCTTGCTTCAGGTGTCTACTTTTAAGCATGGTCAAGGCAATATATCGTATGACTAAGCTCATACATATAAAAATGAAAATAATAAAGACAACATTAATACCCCTAATTAATATTTCTAATAACAACGAACACCAATTTACATTTTACGCTTTGCTCACATATGGTCCACCTTAATTATGTGTTGTTGTGTGTGCAGTCGGTTTTTATTTCCTTCCTTAACTAGTTTTTTATGGCAGAAGATGGCGGCCGAAATAGGCCTTAGGACTCGTATAGAAAAAAACTGCTGAAAATCAGTCAATGCTAAATGGCACATAGCACCCATTTGCAATACACCTACACATGCTTGACACGCTCGGCTCCGCAAAAAACTGCGTCCAAGATGGGGTGAAGGAATTATTATGCACTGAAATGCCCACTTTGTTTTTACTCGTCGCTATCCATCGATCACTCTATTAATCGCTCCCTCTTTCTTCTGGTCTTATTTTGGCCTTCCAGCGAGTGGAGACGAGTACCTGGACAATAATAACCGAGAGAACTGAGCGCGTTCTGCCTCACTGCCCGATCTATCTACCGTTGATCTGTTTGCTGTCTGAGTGTTTTGACTGACACGCACAAAGCGTGCACCATATGTTATATTATTGTATAAGCGCCTATGAATTCACTTCTACTTCGTTTCATAGTTTAGTAGTTATTATATATAGTCAATATCATTTGCTTCTGTTATCACTGTTACTACATGCGTGGCACTAGGTATACAGTGTACAGCGACTTCTGCTACAACCACCCGCCTCTCATGTTCTATATTTCATGGCGACATAGCTCGAACGTTTTACGTCTTATGGTGTCGTGAACAACTTACAAGCATATATGCATGTATGCTTCTAAGTAGCATTGTAGCCCTTCTTAATCTTCTGCGCTCCGAAACATTTCTTGCCATTCAAATCCAAGTACTGAGTACCTAACACGTCAAGCAAAGCGACCTCTATTTTTAATACAAGCCATGGCCAACTAGTTAATCCATCATAAAATATCAAAGTCCCGCTACCTATTACAGCAGCTGTTCTGAGCACACCGCTAAGGTATTTAGTTGCTAAGTTAAAATTCGTAATCTATATATCTATGTATTTTCGGAGAGTGCTGATAAAGGACAGGACATAAGCCGACCAGGAACAGGGCTGGCGCTTTTATGCTCAGTCGTTATTTGGCGCTCATAATGTCTTGCAAATATTATCATTTTTTTGCACTCAGTCCCTTGTTATTCATGATGTTAGGCTCTTATTTGCGTTAGATAATATCGCTATACATCCCTTTACCGTAGGTGTAAGTACCGCCCCATCGATCGCTCTGTTCCAGTGTCGTTGTTACCGCACGCTTGCACTCACGAGGTTTCCGCTTGAGTTGTAACGCATTTACGTAATCTTTGATTAGATGTGCGATATGAAGGGCTTGATTTGTGTTGAAAATGTACTTGGCGCCTTTATGGCGCTGGCCATGCCCGCCCATACCGCTGCCCTGGTGACCCTGATCGGCATGACCGTCCAGATGACGTTGACTCTGAGTGAACACAATGATTGAGGTCAATGAAGGTGAATAATTAACGATGTGCTCATAGTCACATGTGCAAAGCACGTTACGGGTGCGAATTTCAAGGAGATGCAAGCCCGTCTGGTCCACGGCTAGCCATAGTAGCTTCGGCCAAGAGCATGTGGTGCTCTGTTGTACCTCAAAGATGCTGCTGCCCCACAAAGGCCAGCTGCGAATGAATTGCAGAAAGGCGCCCTTGCTTTCCGGTGCACTCATACCAGCGAGGATCTGATGCTGGGCAACGACCGCGTCGGCAGATATCTGCTTCAACAGCCGCATCGGTAGACACTGGGCCATTACCTTGCGGTAATCGACAATAGTGTCGCCCTTATAGTCGCCGTAGTCAAGTTGTGCGCGCAACGAGCAAAGCATGACCGCCTCCTGTACGTTGATAGGGAAACGGTCAAGTCTTACGTTGTAGACAAGCTGATGAAAAATGAGCTCTTCTTCGACGGGATCGGTGAGATCGACGAGGCTATCAATAACGAGGTGCTTTTTAAACAAGAATAGCTGTTGCTTCTGCGGCTTAAGATCCTCTTTTGCGTTGGCGTTGTTGTTGAACTCGTTTCCCCCGTTTGCGCCGCCTGTGGCCGTTTCTTTTTTTGCCTGTTGTTGCTGCTGTTGCTGTGTAGTCCAGCGCTCCCATTTGGAAAGGGCGTCGCCAAGTTTTTCGTTGGGCGCCATCGCCCGTTCCGTTGTGCCGATGACTTCGTAGAGTGAATAACCATCGACGTCTGGACGCAGATTGAGGCGCTTCTTCACGACACTTACGACTTCTTGCGCGCTCGTGCAAGGATCGAAATCTACCTGCTGGAGTTGTCCATCAAGGAACTGGATACGTGTCCTACATGGATGACGACGCGTCGTGCATGAAACCTCTTCACGCGAGGGTGGCCATTTCCGTCCACGTGTTTCCATCGTACGCATGAGACATTTGAGCGAGAATTGAGCAAATTGTCCCTCCTCAGTCACGACGTCCATAGCGCAGTGTTTTAAATGAGCATGTAAATAGTGAAGGACATGTTTCTGCGTTGGTAGAACGAGCGAACACAGCAACGCTAACAGCTGCCAATGGCGAACATTGGCGCGACTGTTCGGTTCGGGATGATCTGTCGTCTGTTTGATGAGTTGCAGGAATAGCTCGTTTAAAAGAGTGTCACGACGCATACCACACTCAACGATCCATTGTGCCATCTGAATAAGGTCTCTTTGGCCGTGCCAGTCCTCATCTTCCTCTAGCAAGCCAGAGAAGATTAGAATACATGAAAACAACCGTCGAGCTGTTCCTTCTAGCTCTGGATCGGAAATAACCAATAAGGAATGACCTAACGGCACCCTACTAAAGGCCCAATATTCGTGACCGTATGACTTGTAACCTTCAGCTGCGTATTCCTGCCGAAGTGTGCTATATTTAGTTGCCCCTTTATGGAACCTGCGAAAATGAGCAATTAAACGCAATTTTATTTTAGGAGTATGAAAACGAGCAGAAATAAGACATATTGTTAGAGTTCCACCAGTGCTGCCATCTTAGGCGAAAGGTGCAAAGTTAATTTCGATGTTTAACAACTACGAATTAAGCAATTTCGCTAATTATTTGATATGCGCATACAATAACGCATGGGCAAAATATATAATTGTACATAATGGTATATTTTTTGTCGTTTTAAATCGATATGTAGTGATTTGAGGACGATTTCTTACTTGCGTAGTGTGTTCTTGAAGATATTGCCAGACTCTAGATCAATAGGTTTATTAAGCAAGCCGGTGTCTACAACGTTCTTTCTGCACTTCAGAACCTCTTGGTGCAGTTTCATTCGATCTTCAAAGGCCAGTCGCGTTTTTACGTTAACTTCGTACGTTGGTTTCAGCCAGCTGGCAATACTAGGCGCATAGGCCGAAATCAAGTTCGCAATATCCATCTTCTCTCTTGTTTCAAACATATAGCATTTGTGAATATCTGTAACAGAAATAGTCATATTAACGCACTTTTGCAAAATCGTTATTTTTGAGAAAAAAAAGTTTATATTTATTAACGATCCAGTTATTGCAGTAATAGACAAATCGAAAGTGGATGACGCTAAATTCTTAGACGGCTTCTATCTAACCTGGGATGTCCTTTGGCAATGTAAATGTGATACTGTCTTCGTCGCTAGCGACGCGTACACTTTCGAGTTCATTATATCGGTACGCATTAAGGATACTCTTTGTTTCAGCGTTGACGAGCAGAACTCCTTCGGCCGAGATACCCAACAACATTTGATGGTCATAGGTAAGAAAACCTCTACATTTCACTGGGTACAGCGTCGTACCGTACAGTGGATACTGCATGACAATCGAGAGATACCACACTTTGCAGACAAGCTCTGATTTTCCAGTACCATATGCCCGATAGGCAGCAGCAATAGCTTGGGAAAACTCAAGCTCGCTACGGCGGTCTCGTACGCGCCGTGGCAAGTAACCGGGTAGGTTCTTGCCAAATTTTTCGAGATTGTCTTCTGGTGTCGAGTTCTGCTCCGGTTCGCCCAGGATCACTCGCGCCTGAAGACCAGCGAGTTGCAAGGCGACTCGTTCCACGACGGGATAGTAGTCCATCTAATAGGAAAATGAGATTGAATTGAAGAGCTACATCTGTACATATCAATATAAAAAGTGTGACGAACAAAAATTATATGAATTATAGAATATATATATATATATATATATTATATATTCCTATGCAAGACTTAGAACGATACGCAACTGTATTTCAGTGTGAGAAATATTCGATATATACATAAAATTTCGACTTGAATACACGCATGACATTTTCGTAAGACTTACGCTGACAACGTCATGCACTGCCTGCGCATAAAGTAGGTCTACTTCAACTGGATCCTGGGGTATCTCCCGAATTGCTTTGAAGAGTCGCTTCTTAAATAGGAAACGACAGTCTCCGCCGCCCACTGCCAAGCTCGGAGTCTTTTTTGTGACGCTCGCGTATTTCGTAAGCTGCGCCGAGCTTCTCTTGTGCCTAAAAAAATACAAAGGAACATGCCGTAATGAAAAAGATTAAACGAAGTACATATATGTACTAATATTGCAAAATATTCAGGCTAAACTGGCTGGAATCTAGCAGCTTCCTTAACGCTGTTTATGGAAATTCGCCTATTTGTTTATGCTAATTATCGATGATTATCAAATGATCTGATTGGTCCGATGGTTGTAACACAAAACTACTGTTGACATAAATACTAACTGGCAAAATACTGTCAATCTACTAATAATTACATTCAATTGTGCTATAAAGCTAACTCTGGAGTGCATTTTCGAAGGTTCAGAGAAAACATTTGGTGATGTCGCAAGCGCTAACGTTGTTTTGCGCACCAACGTTGGCGCATTATGGCTCTGGCTCTGCGATATTGCGTTCTCGGCAGTTTTGAAAAAGAAATTTGACAGCAAAACCTTACAGTTCCCATTGATAGATGATATCCGCTATGTAGTCGTAAGTTTTGAGCGCCTGCCGTCGATCCGGATTGTACTCAAAGATAATCCATCCTTCCGTGTTCTTGAGGCCGATCTTCTCAGCGAAGGCCTTGGTTGCCTGTGCAACTGTAGTCGAAGCAGACACTTCCACGGCCTTACTTCGCCCGTCCATGAGGAACAGGCGACACAGAAGCGGCTCTCGTCGACGGATTGCCTAAGGCGTTTGAAATGTTTTAGTTACTACAGTACGGAAGAGTGTTCTACTAAAGCGTTACTCAAGTGGTTTTCGAACAAATAAGATCAAGCAAAAATTGGCCACAAGGAATAAAGAAAAGAAAACGCTTTGGGACATTTTACTCACATCAACTTCGTGCTGCGACGGAGGACAACGACGACCGACAACACTTGATCCAGCTGTGTTAAGTTCGTTGAGGGCATAGCGAGCAAACGCACGGACCTCTGGGTCTTCTGTTTCGCTGCTCGCCCGTTCGCGGATGAACATTAACAGATGCTATATTGAGTGAATACGATAAAATCAGTCAAGAGAAGATATCTGTTATTTATCATTTACGCATTGCCTAAACAGCCGGGAGAACGTTTAGACTTGAACCGATAGTAATTATATTTGATAAACAAACTGGTATTTAGTTAAAAAATATATGAGGATTGAAACCCGCTGCCCGTGTTCATCAGACACTACCGACTCGATGAGGAATAAACACTGTCTGCATAACTGCAAAAGACTAAAGGTGTCATATTCACGTTTGTGCGAACTCACATATGGTTATAGTGTATGCGATGGTACCTTCAGAAACCAACATTCTTTTGTGCGTACCTTTTGAAATGTTTTGCTGGGCTTGAAGCAGCCGATGCAAGCTGCGATCAGAAGCCATACTCGTCGCAAAGCGTCATGTCCGAGAGGATTGGCGGTTGCCTGACGGCACGCTTGTACGAGCAGCTCGTCTCGTAGTGGCTCATGTTCAATGGCCAGCTGACAAGCGGTCTGAATGAGAAGTACCTCCCCTTCGGCGCTGAGCTCACCTCGGACAAATTTGCAAAGATCCTTGAAATTGCTGACTGAGAGTTGCAACAGTTCGGAGTCTGTGATCGACCTCAGATGAGCCGACGGAATAGCGCCATGCTTGCAGAATGCCACCATCTCCTCGAATGATACAGCTTCTGAGTTTGCGACGGTACGGCGACGACGTGTCAATGTCCGCATCACCTGTGTCGTCTGCGAGCTTTGATAGAACTCCTTCGGGTGTTTGGCGAAATGTAGTTGCGCGAACTCGACCATCGAAAGCGCCACTCCCGCAGCCTGACCCTGTGCGCCTCCAGCACCGTCCAGGCGGCTTTTGCGGTTCTCTTGTTGCTCCTCTCGCTGCATCTCGCTGAGTTTTTTTTCGACGCGCTGTCGGCGCCGCTGTTCGCGTTCAGCGTTCTCGACGACACTTTCGGCGTTGCTGTGATTACCCGAATCTTGTTTCGCTGCACCCTGCTTGCTGGGAGTGGCTGGTGCAGGCGCCGAGAACGGACTAGTTGTTGGCACCTGCAATTTCTTCTCATTAGCCTGGGCCCTGTCTTTAACTTGCTGATCCTTCACGGTGGCGTTCTCTTTGGCAATTTGCGATTGGATATTAGTCTGTTGGGCGTGTAGCGCTCCCAGACCTTGCGGAGGCATGGGCGGTGGCGGCGGAGGTTCCTGTTAAACAAAAACTTTCGTTAAACTTGGTTGCTAACAGGGAGCGGGTTTATATAAAAAAAAAAAATGGCATGGTATATTTCTAAGAGCAGATTCAGGTTACACAGATTCGACGGTGATTCGTCGAAGGCACAAAATTAATTAAGAGTATAAAAACTTCCAAATATAGCCATACATAGTAATGAGGTCGGAATAACATCCTACCTCTTCATCATCCTCTCCGTTACACTCAGAATCCGTATCTTCGGGTTTAATTGGTGATGCTGTTCGAGGAATAGCTTGTAGTTCATTATCCTTACATTCTGCGTTCGTTGGCGTAGCCTTTGATTCGGGTTTAAGGATTTCGCGAGGTTGGCTCTTCATTTCATCTTGAAAATCGGCAACTTTCTCGATTGGCCCTCTCGTATTTTCCTTTTCTCCGAAGCCGTTTTGCATCGGAGGATCAGCGTTGGCTTCATCCTCTTGTGTAGGTTTATTGATCTTTGGCTTCGCTGGATCCTCACTCTCGCTAGCCTCCCCATGCGATTTAAGTTCTTCTTCACAGATCTCGGCACCGTCGGTAATCAGTTTTTCATCAAGAGGTGTCTGTTGTACTTCACTGAGGAATGAGAACATCTGGTCAAGATCCACCTGAACGCCAGCTCCACTGTCCTTGTCTTTTGCGACGTTAGTTTGATTCTTTTCCATCTCGGCGAGCTTTTGTCCAGCGTGCTTAACCTGCACCATCTCAGTAATGACAGCCAGTTCTTCTTGCGCGGCTTTGATGATGTCCTCAGCTTCTTGTAATGCCTTCGACTGAGCGAGCTTCTCTTGACGAAGTCGCTCTTGCTCTAGTGCTTCTTCGACCTTGCGGCGTTCGCGTAATGCCGCCGCTACCTCCTACAAAGCACATCATAATACATGTCTATCAAACAACACTTAACAGAAGTAGATCAAGATCATTTCTACGACTATAAGCAATATAAAACTATCTCTATTTTCTCTATATTAGAAACTCATTTCGCTCTTCAAACTGGCATCTACAACACACTACCAAACAAACCAGGATTCATTTGTTATTAAATAAACAGTGCTCTCAAGACTATGAACGCAGTGTGCCTCCTAATGGTGTCAGTTATATGGGGAAGCGCTGACTTTCCATCAAGTCACCAAAGTCAGGTTAGTGAGTACAGAGCTCGATATAGCTATATGCAGTACAGTGCAGTGCACGTTGATATATCTTTGACTTACTCTGGCAAACATTCCACGAACATAAGCTTGAATCGTAACCGCTGCTCGGCGCATCTTGTTGAAGCGGATCTTTTCTCGTCGAGCCCTGTAGTACTGTTGTAAAATGCAGGCAGCTGACTTCATCCTTAGGAACTCTGTAAGATAACAATAATTATTGGAGAGTGTATAAGCCACGCTTTCATTCATTCATTGTATTGTCAATGTTCCCGAGAAAGCATTTACGAAAATATTTTCACTGCTCTAATGTTTCTACTTTAGTCGACAGCAAAGGTTTTAATTAAAATTGAATTCTCTACTTTAAATAATAATAAAGCCAATTACAGGGTATGAGTGTCGCTGGGAGCCATTTCTGAACAGGATATAGTGGCCAACATGGTAAGCAGACAACGATTGTAAATAGTGTTTGGTTACCTTTACGGCGTTTCCAGCCCTTGTATTGACGCTGAATGACGATAGCGCTGTCGTGAAGAATTCTTTTGCGATTTTCTTCGAGGACATTTGACACGGAGCTACGGAGGAACACTTTGGTTTTTCCAATCTGCCAATCGAGGTCCTTCATCTTAAGGAAGTTTAGAATGACTTTAACATTATCTACGGGTTTCTCACTGCGCTTAATAGAGTATCGACGCTGGCCCATCAGACACCTGCATCAAGATACAAAATTAATCATAACAAATGCGCATAGTGGGTAATCTGTTTCAACAGGTTCACCTGATTCTGATCGTCATCAACAGTATTATTCTTATTAATAATCTAAATAATCCTACAGTCTCAAACGTGTATGCGTTTGCTAGTATGCACGTCTGCGGTGCTTACCTCAAAAACGGATTTAACGATCTTTATAGTCTTAGCTTGTCTAGACCAGGCTGCGACGAAAACAACATGTTTGGACTCCTTCATAAATCTTAAGAGAAACTTGGAGAAAATGCTTTGACCCCGACAACTGTTGATAGTTTTCAAAATATATAAATGTGGAGGGTGGCCAAAGTTTCAAGCAAAAAAAATGAACCTAATTTTATGGCTTTCTGTCATGTAAGGAGGTGGCTGAGAAAGAAAATCGAGGTTCTCGTACTGCTTACTTGTCTGGTTTTTCGAATGGAAACTACAGATAACTGATCCAAAAATACGGTACAGGATTTAATAATAGAATATTTGAATCAAACTATTGAACAATCTAAGCAATAAAGTAATAAAATTACTAAGGCAACGCAATCGAATGGCTTAACAAGATCAATCGTAACTGGCAAATGAGAGTAACGCAGCTGTGCTATGGGACAACTACAACAAGTCTGATTTAGAGCTGGGGTCAACCAAAGTAAATTCGTTTAAAATAAAGTAACAAGGTTGTATTAAGTATCGTGTAGTACGGATTATGTGCAACGGATATTGTGCATGCACCAACGTGCTTATAATTTACGAAATAGAAAGCTAGCGTAGTTCACATAAATCCACCAATATCAACCATATAGTTTAATAAAATAATGAACGAATCCTTATCCGTCTGGCATCGCGTACCGGTATTTTAGTACAAAGTCCTTATGCTCGACATGTGTGGGATAGCCCATACGTCGAATGTTGATGATCTCAAGCATCCCGAGATACTTGAGTTGGTCCGTAACTATTCTCTCATCAAAGAAGGCGGATTTCTTGCAAGCGTTTGGCTTAATACAGCGAACATACCACGGATTTGTGGAATGGAGGACGTCTACAAGGGTTGTTAATTGCTGGCGAAAAGCATCAGCAACCGTTGGTTTCGCCTTGCTCATCGTTCGTGACATAGTTATGACCGAACCAGCGGCCTTACCAATTGACGAGTTGTTATCAGAGCATCCGCCCGTCTGAAAAATTACACCAAAGTTTCCATAACCGATAGAACTATCAACGGATCATACCACATTTAAATGAGCGCCTGTCTCCTTTTTGTACTAAATATTCTGTTCTGCCATGTTTCTTAGTTTCCCTTAGCCATTCTGCCAGTCAGTGTGCATACGTACTGGATTATTCTCGCTGGACCTTTGCATGGTAAACTCAACAAGGTCCCGAAAGCGGACGAGATCCCTGACAAATGCATTTGATGCCTTGAACATAAGCTCGAACAAGGCGTCCACTTGGGCATCTTTGTTCTTTTCGAGAAAGCCACGGGCAGCATACATTACGCTGCCTGCGTAATGGCGAATGCCAAATTCCCTTTCCCACCGTCGACGATCTTCACCCTTCACGTAGTAGGCGTGATCGGCCAGTTCGCCGTGCAGTTTCGATACGAAGCTCTGGTCACTGCCTGCTCACGCAGAAATGAGTGCGCTACGTTAGAACGCTAAAAACGAAAACTTATATAACATCCGTACATTATAACTTGAACCCAACCTATACGGTATTCACCTATTGCTGCCGGTAGTTCAACTTCTATGTAGATATTTAAAACAGACAGAAGGACAATTAACCTTGTGCAATATATCAGGCTATGTCTAGAGCCAAATCTATTCTATAGCTATATCTAGAGCCAAGTGAATTGTGATCCAGACTAGATCTGCTACCATTCTTAATTACTGCATACATCTCTCATTGATTCAGCTAATTATTTGAAAATTACAATTCAAAAATACGATATTCGTATACTATAAAATCTATTACCTTTAGGCATACGGCATTCTTCAACGAGTAACCTCAAAATTCCCTTTGGAGGTTTCTCGATTAGCTCAAGACAGAGCGAATTGTCCACATAATCGATATGCTTGTATTTGATTCCTTCCTGTTGGTACTGTAAAAGGAAGCATCACACAGCAGCGTCTTTAAGGTTCGTGAAGTGCCTTTTAGGGTATGCGGTGTGCAATACGGTGACGCTCGCAACAAAAGCATACATTTTTACGTTTCTGCTCATGTGTTCATAAACAAATAATTAATTTAATACATCATATATGTTCGAAATAAATTACTACAATCTAGATCTTACCGTTTGTTGCTCGAGAGAGAAGACATAGTGATTAAAGAATTTGTGCAATTTTTCATTGGTGTAGTTTATACAAAGCTGCTCAAAACTGTTCTTTTCACTGCCAAAATCTTCGAAGCCAAAGATATCGAGGACACCGAGGAAGCGGCTGTCCTTTCCAAGTGTAGAATGTTCTTGGCCTTGATGGGTTTTAGGACTTGTACAACAATTGATAAAATCAATAACCCAGGCAAAACAGCGGCTGTACAGAGCTTTAGCAATAGCATGTCGATTTTGTTGAGCCTGTGGCAAGGTATGAGAACGATATTAGAACATATATATTATTGTCATGGTTACCGGAACGAGCTCACTAATAACACTAATTTACACGCGTTATTGTTAACGTTACACACGATTATTAAGGTGAACTTAATAATAATAGACATGGTATGTACTTGCACGAATATCTGGATCAGAATTGTATTATTGTTCATTAATACATCGTCTGGAATACTGATAATATAACCTGACAGTAAATTTGTTGCCCTTTGAAGAACGACTGTGTTCATTTACCTCGCTAAGTTTGAATGGAATCTCCGTGATGTTTCCACGAACCATGATTTGCCGATGTAAGATAATGTACCGGAGCTGGGTGAGTTCAAGCCCGAGGAGGTTAGCAACTTTGACCAGGGTTTCTTCATCATCAGCACTAAGCTGCGAGCTTTCGTCCTCCCCTCCACTTTCACAAAACTCCACATTTCCGAGCCAAAGAATTGCGGACAAAGTCGAAAACATCCCATCCATCATGTCCTGTGTGTACAACCGCAGGCATGATGTCGCAGAGAAGTAGTTAGCAAATGAAGCGAAAATCAGCGAATCATTTATTTTGCAACTCTTCCCATTCAACCACAAAGTCTCCCCGTACTTCTGAGAGACAACGACAAGCGTGCTGAGCAATAATGGCACTTTGAGCTGATTTCTTACAAGGACCTCGATGAATCGAGCTCGCCTTCGCTATACACACAATCCTACCTATATCAAAAAAAAAAAAAGAACTGTCCCCAACTCGTTGAGGCAGATCGCTTACTGTCATTCACAATAAACAAAAAATGCGATACTATTCAACCCGTAGGCAACATACGTAATTAAAATAGTTTTAAAAAAAAATTTGTGATTACTAAGGGAGAATTTTTTACAAATACGTGATGTACCTGTCCTATGCCGAGAACGCTGAGGGCTAGTCGCAAGGCATCAAACATTTTTGCATCATCGACACCTTCGATCTTTTCCACTCCCTGGTTAAGATATTTGTAACGGCTGCATTCGTCCAACATAAATTGTTGAGCGAATTCGTTTGAAGCACGGCCTGCCGCTATGAGCTGGTAGAACACATGATAATTTCGCTCCTGAGGTGATACCAGGGTAATGCGAGACTGCTCTAGCAAATAATCTTGTACGACACATCCTTTGATCTCGTACCTACACAGAAAACGATGTAGTACGGAATGATAGGTCCATTGTGCTTTGAGCCCAAGATACGAGTACTAGTTGTGGTAGATAGTGAATTATTTTATGTTACTAAGTCTAAAGCAACTCTACTTTACTATAGATGAAATCAGTAATGTCAGAGACCCATTGTCAGGGCTGCGACGATATTCCTACTGAATATCGCCTACATTCGAGTGGACTGATATAAGCAATCGTATACTTAAAAAAGCTGAGAGCCGAAGTAGGGACATCATAGTCAAGCCTTATTGTACTGGAGTGGCAGACGTATAATAAATATACAACACGTGAACTGACTGAAGGTCCGGACATGCGTGAGTTCTACACTTTCCAGTTAGGCGTTTTGAAATGGAACAATTGCATTTTCATAATAACGGTTACATGAACGGACAGGTGCGCCTCAACTGAATAATTTTCTATTGCGATTGGCCTACAGATAATCACAAACAGGGCCTAATGAACATAATGTCCCAGTCTGAGCATCGTTATCCGCCAGCACCACAAACTGCCGAGACACCAGAAGCGTTTGAAATACTTTAGCCTTTACGTCGCATTACACTACGGCACTATAGTGGTTAGCATTTGCAGTATATACCTACATATAGCATACAAATATTTAACTGATTAAACATTGACATAAGACCGATGCTATTTTAGATAAATCGCGTGTGGTATTGGAGTTCTGCGCATAGATCTTTTTGTAAGTACGCACTTTGCGCCATTGTGTCCATTGCACTAACTGACCTCCCCGGCATTCAGCTCATTTATACACGTATTAATTTCAAATCGTCTCATGACAGTATAAACGGAAGAATCCATTACTATTCCTTTAAAGAACAGTTTTTTTTTTTGTTTAATTATGTAAGTGTAGCAATTGTAGGTGAAGTCATCTAGTTATTTAACATTTTTTTTTATAAGCAATCATAGCACCACTGCCCACATTTTCACACGACAGGAAATTTCAAATAAAAACTATAGTGTAACGGCACAATAAACCCTACATGCGGCATAACGTTCAAAGGCAGCTTTTATTATTGAAAACACGCCTAGAAAGGTCGCTGGTCGACTCAGCATTTAAAAGAGGCCCACCGAAACAAGCATCTCTGCAAAATTTTACTTTTAATAATTGCTGGCAAGCTTCGATAGAGACGTTTACAGAGCTTTAAAAAGTTGATCACACTGATGACCGACGAACGTAACGTATGCCTTGAAAAAAAAGAGCGACGCAAAGACAGCTCGTGATACCTTATTTGAGATACGAGGTGGTAACGAAACTCACTGGAAACAGCGATCATCTACGCAGACACTTCAAAATTATTAACAAGTGTTTAAAATGAACCGTTAAAAATATCAAATTTGCAGGCATTCTTTGTAGATGCAACCATTCATTCGAAACTGATATATTGTATAAATAAAAGAAATGTTACTATAAAGAACATAACTCACAATTACTATACGTGAATAAATTCACTAATGGGGTGGTAAACTTGCCTTTGGTCGAAGCAAACTTGAATAAACTTCCCAAACCTAGAAGAATTATCGTTTCGCACGGTTTTCGCATTTCCAAACGCCTCGAGGATCGTGTTAGCCTCGAGAATTTGCTGTTGTACCCACGACGACCCTTGGCCCTAATTTCCAAAGATTGAAATGTTAAGCGTAAACGTATTCGAAAGATTACAGCTATTATAGAAAACAAAGAGAAACACCATAAATATATATATATATATATATATATACACGTCCCCAAAAACACGTTTAACTTTATA